TAATAATAGAGAAAATCACCGTGAAATAGTGACCACGATAAAATGACGATACCTAACTCTGTAAAGTTAAAAGCAATAACGCAAGCGTTTTCTTGCAGAAAGATTGAGAAGCTGAGGAATGCTATGATAAGAGATTGTAACATATATACAGGTTCAGACACTACATATGTGGGTATTTAAATCATTGTCAACGCAAAATCGAATATAGTTCCACGTTTTAAATCCACTTCAAATTTAGTTTTATGCAATTAATGATATATAAATACCGTAACTCGTTTGCCAAGTACAGAGACTCATATAGTTCAACTTTGAACCTGTTATATTTTGGTATAGCTCACGATGATTTCGAATAACGAACAGATGGAAGATTTCCCTGGTACAAACAAAATATATTTGAACTAGGTTGAATGGGCGACTAATAAGTAATATTTCAATAACATTCCTCCCTTTATGGTAGGGAAAAATAATTCAAGAACTCAGGAAAAAATTTTGTATTTAAAGAAATCAGAATCTTTACAGGACAACTTTGTCTATATAGCAACACATGTGATCGTGAAACTTAGAGTAAATATACCAATCAAATATCGGGAAAGATCAGGGGGAAAATGTAAGTTATTGCAGACTCATTTTCATGTTAGAACTATCATTTATTTAAACCAAAAAATAGCTAGATAATTTGAGGCTTTCCTAGCATTACCAGATTGTGGTTGTTAGGATTACTGATACTGATCAAGCGATTGAGGTAAACGGGATGGAGTTCGGACTTGTAAAATATTGGATAAAACTCGAAAGTCTTAAACATAAAACGTTCACATAAACATTTGTGTGTGGATTTCTCTCTCGCGAAACCATTGTGTAATGTATAATAATAAAGATGGTATTGTAAAAGTAATTGTTTGTTTAAATATTTTTTGGATTAAGTATTAAACAGTTATCTTTAAATGACTTGAGGATTTAGTCATAAAACGAACTTATCGGAGCACTGAATGATATTTCGCCACTGCATTTTGTTTATATGGTTTGTATATTTCAAATTTATAATGTAAGTTTCTATACTCATCTTCCAACTCCTGAGTTACAACTTAGAACCCGGTTTCATTTACTTCAGTTTAACGATCCGGGTAATATTACTCTCACACGATTCATATGTGACCCAAGCCAAATATTCTAAAATTATACTTGGTAAATCATTTACATAATTTGTCTTATCAGTTAAAACTCAGTGTATACTATTCTTTTAAAGGTTTTGTACCTTAATTTTAAAGTTGAAATTTATATGATTACTTCTAAGTAATTGTAAGGTGCTTGTACAGGGGATCTAAATCTTTAGAGCAGGCAGAGTAAATGTAGATAATAAGGGTCATGGTAACATTAATAATAATCAATATACTCAAATAGAAAAAAATATATAATAGTGATATTACAGAAGCATTTTTCTAAACATTAAAACAAAATGGGATAGGTCCTGGCAAAGATAGGGATCTAAAACAACTCTGTACAAATAGTTCGTTTTTTCACATTATTGATGAACAAAGCTTGCATATTAAGTGTAAGAACTGATATCATAGAATGTCCGATTGTTTCTTATAAGTAGTATTAAAAGGAAGTGTTTGGAACTAAATAGTTAGAATTTGCTCCTTTTTTCTTCAGAGCGAATGACTTAATTGATGTATGTTCTGTTTCTGTTAAATTCTGAGAAATAATCTTGAATCTGATTTGAAAAATTGTGTAGACAAATGATTTGTGTATCATCCGAAGTCAACTTATTTACCATAACGAGTATATTCTTATTGTTTCACTGAAAAAGAAATCAATTTATATGACTTATTGATGACGAACTGTCTATTCAATAGTGATTATCATTGTGATAAAAAGGGCGTTCATTAATTACTAATAATTGATACTTATATCCTTATCTATAATACTTAATCAAGTAGAATTAATTGTAATTAGTTGCGATTGAGATTAAAAGACAATAAACTATACACTAATTACTTTGTATACGTCCTTTATTTCTCTCGCATTATGTACAAGGATATTCATCTTAATCCCTTTTAACATGTCAATAAGAATTAAGTGTGTATATTATAATAAAGAGATCATCACATTAAAAAAAACAAAATTCATGCACGCATATATATTTTGATGAATGAATAGTCTAAAAAAATGTATGTATGATTGAAAGAGAATGATTGATTATTCGCAATGGATTTCATTCAAACCAAATAGTTATGACATTTGGTATGAAAATCAGTCTTCATGTAATAAATTAAACAGCGTTAGTTATGATTGTTGCTTGTGAACTATCTTTTACGCTAATAATAATGATAATAATCTATAGACATGTTCCTGTCATTGGTATTCCTGACTGGACTAATTAATTGCAATCGACATATTAGGCTGTCTGAACGGATATTTCGGTTCTACCTGTATTTACATGTTGATTATTTCTAGGATATTGGATAGTATTGAAATTAACTATTTATATTTATATGCAGTGTTTCCGTGCAGCAATGTCTCGACTTTCAACGCTAGGTCTCAGGTTAGAACCCTACTCTGGTTTCAACAACCATGCAATAATACTAGGCTTAACAAGAAAAGTATGCTTGGAAGTCGACTTTTCAAACACATATGTACTTGATAATTTAGTTAAGTATAAAATTCAAGTGATAAGATGAATTGCTTTAAAATTACTATTATTCCATTCATATTATTTACGCCTGTTATTTATTTAAAAATGAAGAATATTTGAGCGAATAATTGTTTTCAATAAATTCATCATCAGGCTCTACAGTTATAAGTCCATAATTATAATATTTTACAAAGGCCAAAAATAAGGCATGTTTTAATGAGTTTGACGATGTTATGTGTTAAAAATGGTTATTTATTTGAACACATAAATATTGGTACAAAGGGTCACTGAATACATATGCACCACACAAGCCACTTGGTTTGTGTGTGGGTTGGGTTACTACCCGGGAGCTTAGACCGAAGCAAGTGGTTTTCTTAGGGGACCACACCCAGAGCCTGATCCACAAGGCAATGGAGCAACGTAGTGAGATGCAATACCATAATAGCCGGTGATCAACGATTGATTTATACTCCATTTGTCCCTTCAAGATATTGGAGCCCATGTGCACCATTGGTTTGGAATGAGGGACATCCACATCCACCAACCCGGTTAAAGCATTGGATGTTCGCTTTTCATACTCTCAATTTCGTAAACAACACCCTGTTACCCATCATGGGGCATTAGCCACCGATCACGAGTCTCCAACTGACTTTGTACTAGGCTCTGCTTTCCACTTGTTGCTAACTGCTGTTCCTTTTTTGTGTCTGCCTCGAATTCCCGACGCAATATGTAATTTGGTCTACCCCTTTCCTTTTTGCCTTGAGAATTCCAAGTTTGGACTTGCTTTGTGATGTAGTTTGGTGATTTCTTCAATATATATCCTATCCAACTCGAATGTCTTTTCCTAATTTCTTCTTTAACTGGAAGCTGGTTTTTTCTGTCATAGTAGGTTATTGCTTATGGGTATCTGGTCCATAGATCTGGAGTATCTTGTGTAGACAGCTGTTTATAAATAGATTACTGTTTTTGTGGTGGTTGTAGTAGTTCTCCAAGTTTCAACTCCGTACGATAGAACTGTATTGATATTCATATTGAAAATTAAGACTTTGTTGTTGGATGACATTTCTTTTCAGTTCCAGGTATTCTCCACATTATATTACTGTAAATAATATATCTTGTTATTTTTACACTATGATAACTTGTTTATTTTATTCTCTTTCATTTGTAGTAAACAGTAATAGTCAGTTATCTTATTTATCGGGTACTTGATTATGAATAACACTCAAAGTGTGAGGTGTAATAATACTCCCCGTTGCCCAAATCAAAGTAAAGTTAGGTGGGGCGGAGTTCCGATCTGGGACTTAATGGATGAGAGTCGAACTCTGTAACCACTAAGCTAATGTTCCTCCTTTCGCCTGTACTTATTTTCTCTTTACTATTAAAGCGTCAAACAATTGTTTATTTCCCTCATTTCTCATTATGTTACTATATAGCAATAAAGTGTTTTCGCGTCGGCAATTGGTTCATTTACTAATTTGGTTTTGAATAGTTTTACCCTCATTTTTCTATTTATTGTAAAAATCCTCGTTTCAAACCAAAACTGGTGTGTTCGCAGTTAATGAGGTTGTGATTCTACATCGATGGTTGAGCCATGTATTATGCATACCTAACCACTGATTACCATGACGCGCAGTGCTGACTGGTGTTGGAGACACATGGAAGAAAGTTAGGGTTGGCTAAAGGAAAACGTGGCATCAATCCCTAAAGTCACTAACTTGTGATCTGAGCCATGTTGGTAGATGCAGACTACTTGGTTGAGGTTCACGCGATTATCGTAACCAATGGCTGTAGACCCTGAGTAGCATGGCGCAGAATCGATCGCAATGGCGTCGGTGTATACACTCTCTGTCTTCCCTTAAACTAAGAGATTAAATTCGCTTCATATCTTTCTTTCTACATACTAATTCTTTCTTCCTGTATTATATCTTTGTACACAATCTTTCTTTTATATATTACTACCATTGGTGTAACAACTTCTATGAATTCGGTGTTAATCTTGTTGTGCTAATGAGGTGTGGCAACTTGGACCAATGCATATATGTGCCTTGTCCTATGTCGTAGCTGACTGGCTGTATTCTTCAATCAACTAATCAGATCTAAGTTTTTAGTATTGTATAAGGTTTCCCTATCAGTTTGAAATGTGTGCATAAATCCCAGTGCTTAGTTTGCATGATAACCTGTAAGAATTATACTGAGTTAGTGTAAAGTGGATAGATAGAGCTATGTGAAAACTACAAAATCTGTCTTTATTATAAGTGAATTTTATTCGTTAGACTATCATTTTTTTCCTGTATGATTTAAAGTTAACGCTAAATATTATAATAATAAGGGATATTATCAAATATATTCCATTTATTTTAATATTTAGATTCAATTTTCTCTGACCGTTATGATGCAGATAAAAATAACAGCACTAGTAATGTCACTTCCACCACTAATACTACTGCGGTTACTACTACGTCTACTTCTCCTACTACTACTACAACAACTACTACTTCTATCATTATTAATAATAATTATTATGAATCAGATGTTAAACACTATACAAATACATTATCAACATTAAATCAATCCACCATAGTTTCATCATCACTGACAACAACAATAACAACAACACCGACACCAATCATAAATCAAGCCGCTTTAATTGCAGCTGCCTTAGCGAAAGCATCTGCAGACAAGACAATGAATGGTCCTTTCTCACTAATTGAACGTAATACTACCATACCACTTAATAATAATTTAGGAATGATGAATAATAAATCACGTAGAAATTCATTAACAATACCAAATCATAATATACATTTATCGTCATTAGATGATCAAAGTAAATTAATTAGTCAAAAAACTTCTAGTTCTGGTATGTTTATTACTGTTATTATTATTTAGCTTTCGTGATTTTTGTTATAAGAACATTACGATTGGTTGGCTTAATGTAGTATTTGAATTGCGAAGTACTGTTTTGAGAATAGAACAAGATGACTTAATAGTGATTTGTTTGTCACTGTTTACACTCTTTTAGTAGTATAACTGAAATCTAATCTTAGATAAATTCTAATATTAACAGAAATTATGGCTTTTACTTTGTGATATTTGTTGTGCTATAAGTTTCCAAGTAGTGGTAGTAGTAAAGTAAAAACCAATTTGTTGTTTAATATAAAATTACAGAATGTCTTCGTAAAATACGAAAACCATACATTAAATACTTCATTTGCATATCTTCCATCAGTTGTCCTTTACATCCTTTATGATTCAATTCTCTTTTTATTCCGATTCTTTTCTGTTCTCTTCAGTGGTAGTAGTAGTAGCAGTAGTAGTAGTAGTAATAGGAAGCAGGTTTAAACAGAATATAACTCAAAGTCGAGTAGATGAACTTTCGTTTGGTAAATAAATTACAATCAGTGCTTTACAATTGACAACAGGAGATTTTGTCAAGATAGTGATGTATCGATCATAATCTATTTTTGGCTTATTCTATTAAACAACTGTCTTATCAATATTTTACTTAACATTCTGTTTTTTTAGGTCAGTTAAACTGCTATTCACTTTTAATGATCTATATATACATAGGTTTGGTTCACCAACATCAGCGTCTGTTTGAATTGTAGCTGCACTCTAGTGTATACTTGGTACATATAATCGTTTTTTGTCGTTGTTGGAAACAGTTGGATATACTTACTAAACCTTATAATTATGTAGAATAAAGGCACAATTTAAGTATCTGTCTCGTAAATGAAGAAGTGTTCAACGAAATAAATCCGAATACTGTAAAACTTGGTTGTCATAAGTGAGATAAACACTAGTTTACCTACCTATCTACGTACCTACCATATAGCAATATTTAATGAAATTATAATTTCATTTGATTGGGACATTTCAAAGTCGACTAATTATTTACGAATACATTTTGAGAATACCTATTTTTCTTCTTTCTTGAGTGTTATCTTATTTGTAATTCAAAAATGTATCTATGTATTCATAATTTATTTAAATAGAAAAACACTTCATTAAACAAATTAGTTCAAATAATGAACAAAGTCTTAATCGTTTTCATTCTTCAGAAGAAATTGATAATCTATTGGATTCAAATACGCCTATATTAGATTTTACCTTCTCCGATGTACAGTATTGGTGTAGTGTCTTTTATTATGAATTAAATACTCGTGTTGGTGATGCATTTCACGCTGGTCGGCCAACGTTAACAATTGATGGCTTTACTGAACCGTGCTATCGTTCCGATCGATTCAGTTTAGGCAGCTTAAGTCATGTTAATCGACCTTTGCAAGTTGAGATGACTAGAAGACATATTGGTAAGTGCTATCTCAAGAAATGTTTTATTATATATTAGAGATAAATAAATTCATATGTATTCTAAGATTTTGTGGTACATCAATTTATAGAGCGTTCGAATCTCATCTGTCCCTTTCCGAATTATGTTTACAAATCGTATACTCTGATCTCATCAACTTTGTTATCTAATCCAATAGATGATAAAACATTAACAAAGGTTACATATTTATCAAATGTCATATATTACAAATAATTTAATAATGTTAGGTGATTAGAGGTGGTCGTCAGAAAACCGTGGGCTCAGGTTTTGTGCATATAATCAGTAGTTGTTAGCATGACTTACCTGAACGATTTTGAGTTGATTTACTCTCCTTGTAATAAATTTCTTGGTATTTTAGGGTCATCAAAATGTATCCTTATATATGGTAATGGTAGTAGTAATAATAGTGTTAGACTCTAGTCTTGGGTTAAATTAATGAGTCACTAAATAGCTTTATGAATCAATCCAATAATATAGCAGATTTTACCAATATATTATTACGTTGTATATAATTTACAATCATTCACCTCACAGTGGTATCCCTAGTTAGGTAATCAACCTTTGAATTGATCAAGTCACAAAGGATATTCATTCAATGAACTCTTTAATAATTGATCATTGCTATAAAGGAAAATCAACATACATTCCATGAACTCTTTATTTTTCTATTGATTTATTGAGGTCCTTCTTTGATTTTGTTTATCTTCTTTCTTATTCTGTTGTTTTTTCAGTTCTTTAATATCATGAGTTTCATTATTGTTCTTTATCGCTATTTTGGTTTTCCCTTTTGATTGATGCCAGTGTATTACATTGAAGTGTTCACGTAGTTGTGTAACATTGCTGTTTTTTATCTATTTATCTGAATTCATTGTTTTGCTTCAAGCAACAATCGATTACTGTAGGTATTCATCTATCAATCAATTTGGGTGTATGTGTGTGGGGGAAAAGGAGGTTAGACGTATTAGAATAAAACTAATATTGTTTTATAGTTCATTAGTTCAATAGTTCTGCGAATAGAGTGCTCATATTTGTATGAATAATTCAGAACAAAAATCGTGTGTAACCTTGATAATTTTATTTTTTAATTTCTGTGTCTTGTTTAATTTATGAATAAATTATTTTGACTGTAATTCAATTCATTGGGTATTTTTGTTTTTAGGTCGTGGGATACGATTACATCATATCGGTAGTGAAGTTTACCTTGAGTGTTTAAGCGATGCTGCGGTTTTTGTTCAATCACCAAGTTGTAATCGTTTCTACAGTTGGCATCCAGCAACTGTTGTCAAAGTTCCACCAAGTTCGTGATCATAAATATTTTAATTTTATTAAACCTCATTATCATTGGATGTTTTATTTCTTGTGTTTTCAGAGCACCTGATTTCATCAAAATTAGTGTTCATCATAAATACTGTCTTATATACTTTAACTTCTAAACATTGTATTATTATTATTATTACTAGTAGTAGTATCATTATTATTGTTCGTACGGTAAACCAACACAGTTTGCTGTTGACCGTGAGCGAAATCACAAACGACCTTGACATTTCGTATTTCTTACTAACCAACCAATCAGCACGAAGATAGATTAAATGCAAATTTTCTCCACTAAAAATATGAAACCTGAATATATGCAAAGTATTTTTTTTTCTACATGGTTTAGAAATACTTATTTGTTCATGGTTGGCTTTTGTTTGAAATCAAGAAATCTTGTTGTACGGTGTACGGGTCAGTTTTCTCCTGGATTCTGTATTCGGCCATAAACAACTTTAAGTGCTTTTTATGAACACTCGTTAACGTTCAAAGGAATTTGTGTGATAATACGATGATCTGGATATCGTACTCTTAAATATTATGCATGTTTTACAAGGGTATAGATAGAAAATTATATAGGCTACTTAAGGAGTTCACTTTGAACAAGCTAAAAAGGAATCAATCCTCATTGATCTACATTTTGAATACAACTTACAACAGTACCAGTATTCTACGCGATAGTCTTGCTCATCGATTCTAAGCATTTCAGACACGTAATGAAGTTGTCTGTCAGATAAATGATAGTTGGTATTTTGTTTTGAATCTAGCGGTACGGTGTAATTTAACCATACAATTTCATACACTTCCAAACCGAATTGCATCGTTACTGAAACCCAACTTATCTTTTTTCAATTTTCTTGATATTGATCGCTTAAGGTTGGTTATCTTTTTAAATGAACTATTTTGTTGTTTATGTTACAAGGCCATGAAAACAGTATGAGTGGTATTTCAAGAAAAATGATGGAAGGTAGAAAAAATTTCTTTTCAATTAGTTTTTTATCACAGTGTGTCAGTTAGTCATACACAACAGAAAGTCTGGTGTTTGTTTAGATCATTTCAAGTTGCCATAGTGCGCTAAAATGAAACAATGAAATTGTTTAGGAAAATGGGGTGAAGTTTAATTCACTTGATATTGTTGCACAAGCAAGTGGCTATCAGGACTCAGTAGCTAAGTGGATAACGCGATGGCGTTTGAAGCGAACGGTACTGAGTTCGAGTCCCAGAGTGAACATCAACTCTGAGATGCAGGTACATCCAGCTGACGAGTCCCAAACAGGACGAAACACGCGTCCTGGATTCCACTGCTAGCCACTATCCATCTCTGCTTATAATGCTTGTAAATTAAGGCAATATCGAGGCATACGCACAGTATGCACATATGTCAATAAGAGACTGATCAACTTCAGTCCTAAAAAACATCAATGGGAAGATTCAAATAAAACAATATCAAGTGAATTATACGTAATATATGCCCCAATAACCTCAACTAGTGGACTTTTGCTGCATCACTAATCAAGATAAGGAATAATATCATGTAAACTTGATTCGTTAACACTAGTGGTGGGGAGATAAAGTCAAGGGAGAGGCGTTAATGGTGGGGATAGAAAGAATATCGAGAAGTGATGAAGAGATCCAATCGCGAACCAGATAGTCCTTATTAATGTTAGATGTATGAGGAAAGTTGTCACTTCCTAGTCGCTCAGACCTCTGAGAGATATTTTTTCTTGATGGATCTGAAAAAGAAACTAGATTATGTAGTGATCTGAGTGACTTGGAAGCGTGACCACAAATCCGGAAAGACAACTATTTAAAGCCGGTCATGCACGGCCTTTTGTGGGAAATTCCGGAGGTAGCATGACAGCCTTCGGACCTTGAGATGTTGGTTTTAGTCGTAACACTCTCCAACCTACCTGCCTAGCTTGGTAGGAACAATCGTTTTCATCATGAAAAAATACGTGTTCAATCACCACGTCAGTGCTTGCTGTGCTGTGTTCTCAACATAGCTCTCTTACACCTGTTACTCCCATTGGAGTATATATTGATAATTATTTTCATTAGTCGGCTATCGGATACAGATTTTTGTACCTAGCTAGGAGTCATATTCCAAGTTTTAGAGGTAGCAATACTACTCGGATGCTCGAGTGGGGTTTAAACTTACAACTTAGTTGTTGAAAGTTTAACACCCCAACCACTGAACCGCAGCTTGACTTAAGAATAATACTGGAAACATGAAGAATAATTAGACATTTCACATTAAACACAATTCAGTCTTTTTTTAATTTTAATTTGCGCTAGCCTAGTCATAAAGCGTTATGTTCCTTTATTATCATAAGTGTAAGTCATAAGCTAATATATAAATTTCGTATTCATATTTCAAACAGACGTCGTTTATATACAGACATACCGGACTATATCATACCATAAAGTGAAGAACAAGTTATAAATGGCTGTGAATAGGGAGGACTGTAAGTAATAGACTGGCAACATATTTAGAATAGTAAGTCGTATGACAGTAGTTGATGGGTTAGCTGAAACTTATACTAAAGGTAATACATATACATGATAATCTAGATATTCAGTAACTATGTAACAAAATTATAATTATTCGAAAAAACCGCTTCCAACTTCTAAAATACTCGTTCTATTATAACGATATACGTTATTTCTTTTTCTTTTCTTCAGAGTGTAATTTGAAACTTTTTGATAGTGCAGCATTTGCTAGTCAATTAGCTGACAATATGTCACGTAGTTATGAATCTGTCTTTTCACTAACTCATATGTGTTCAATACGTGTTAGTTTTGTAAAAGGTTGGGGAGCAGAATATAGGTGAGTTAATTTAGTTTGAATTAATCTCTGGTATTTTGCTACATTTTTAATTTATTATTACTGTTTATGAATAACTGGTTTTATTGTGGACTACTCAATTGAGCTAGTGTAATGATGATTCCAAGTAAAAGTTACTAGGCCAAGATCTAGATGGATCTATCTACACTTTGGTACAGGTATACATCTAACTGGAGTCAGTCAGCAACAACGTAGAACTTCGTACGTACGTACATCAGTTGGAGTTACCACAACACATTAGCACTGAGATGCAGTTGTCGCTTCAATCCCGTAGTGGTAGAGGTGGTAAAAGTATAAGCAGTAATCGGAAAGATTAGGGTTTGAAGATGTTTTCCAAGGAGTATAATCCAGTGAAAAAAATTTCAAAAGAGAAAAAAGGGACATGATGAATTTGGGAGAACACAAAGAGTGGATGCACCTGCGCCACTGCAAACGATTTTGAGCCATGTCATTCTAGGTCTCTAACCATCGTTTGCTATCACCTGGCGGTCCTCAACCAGGTAGTCTACACCTACCAACATGGCTCACTCAGTCCACTTGTCAGTGACTTCATGGATTTGTGCCATGATATACGAGCAATGCTTTGAAGGCACCTATGATCGAATACTAGTAACCTACGAATATCCATCTAGCTGAAGAGTCTCAAATATAGGAGGTAACGCACATTCTTGTTTCCTATTCAAGATTCAGCCAGAAATACCAGCATTTGAGTGTTGACACTTACACTCACTCAACCCAAAAGCGCCATATTTCTTCACACAACGATGCGTTCATAAGGTTCCTTCCTTGTCTTTTCTGTTATTTTATCAATATTTAGAATTTTCATTCGCCAATCACTGTTGGGATCAATTATGATCTGTGTTGTGACTTTTAACTTGGCTAATTATCACGTGACTTATTCGCCAATTGGAATACGACTTATACAATCTTAGCACTGTACCAAACCAATGACGTATTGATCGGTATAAGTAGCCCAGCGTCCTTAATGGTCCTTTTCCCTGCCTTGACCTTCCTGTTTAATCCAGAACGCTGATATCAGCTTACACTATATGAATCATTTATTTCAAACATACCTGGTTTATATACAAGCCAAGCAGATCACATCACACATAAAGTAGGAAATAAGATTTGTACAAGATCAAGCCGAAAAGTGGCTATGATTGTGGGAAACTGTAATGAATAGTAAATCGTATCATAATAGTCTATAGGTCAAAATAAAGCTTATTAATAAGCAGAATATAAATATACATAATATAGTCACTTAATAATTATACAATAAGAATATATGTATAATATTAGTCCATAAATAGATCCCAACAGTTGCCATTTATTATTATCCATTGAAATTACTGTAATATCCACAAAACCCATCTAAAATAGAATAGTTGATGCTTTAATTCTGATCGGTTTATCCAGAAATTATATCCCCATCTTTTAATCGCTGAAAAATTCGCAGTATATTAAAACATAAATATATGAACGAAGAATATTCTTTTCAGTAATTTTTCATCAGGTTCCTTATCAATGATTAATATTTTTTTACGTTAACAAAAAAACATTTTTATTATTTAATTTAGAAGGCAAACAATAACCAGCACACCATGTTGGATAGAAGTACATTTAAATGGACCATTAAAATGGCTTGATCGTGTACTTCGACAAATGGGTTCACCTACACTTCCATGCACATCAGTGAGCTGAGAAAATTTTTTTTTGAAAGAAAACAACTAAATCAAAACACACCTAATCGATCTCATTCACCTGTTTTATTGTATTATATTATTACTATTAATTAATAATCTTCACGGCTGGTAACTAAACACACATATATGCACACGCACACAACCGCCATCGACCCCATCCTTATCTGTTCATTACATATGTTTTGTTTTTAAAATGTCTGTGTTCTGTTTTGGTTTCTCCAACGGAATAGATGTAAACGAGAAAAATTCACTACTAATGAAAAAATGTAATTAAGAATAGCAGTAGTATATATATTACTATTCGTATCTCTTGTTTTAATGTTTAGTATATAAGTTTTTATATTATTCTTCGTCAGTAATTGAAGTTAATTGTCATTTTAGCTAGCATTTACGCTATAATTAAAAATAATGATAGTATGGAATATTATGGCGAACACTTAAAGAACGGTGTAATATATATGTATACATATATATGTACACTTGATCTAGGAATAATGAATGAATGAATTAGATATATTTCTACTGAATTAGCAGCAAAGATCATTTTATTTAGATCTTTTTTTTGTTTCCCATAGATTTTTTTTATTGATTTGCCCTTCCCTCTTTTGGTTATCCGTTTCTCTGGCTTCTTAGTTAGTATTCTATTTCTTTTTGTTGTTTTTTTTGTATTACAATTGAGTCAATATTCTGTGTACGTGTACTACTACTATTACCATTGATGTTTGTAATACTAATAATACAAACTCTGAATGATGTGTTAGACAACGTATGGTAAACGGTAGTAATGTGAATTTATTATTTCTGTCTATGTATACACATTTATTTATTCATCTTGTTCGTTCTCCAAGTTGATTATTCGTTGGTTTGTACAAAAGTGTAATTTTCTCTTCTTTTTTTTTCATTTCGAATACCAAGTATTGCTTACCCATAGACAAACAAACAAAACATATTTAAGTAAAAAAGAGACTGTTCTATCTATTCATCCAACTTTAAATTGGTGCACTTTTCTTTTTGTTCTGCACGATCGATTCTTTGTTTATTTTGCTTATCTAAGTAAAAACACTCTGTTGTGGATATTATTTTTCTAAACTAACGTATGTTCTTTTTCCCCTTTTCTTTCTTTATATATATATACGAACTTCTTTTTTGTCATTCAAAGTTTTACTATCATCGTCGATCTTATTACTTATAATTATGTTGAAATTCTTTCTTTTAAAGAGTATTTGAAAACAGAAAAAAAGAAATTTTTTGTTTGTTTGACAATATTTGGAGTAGGAATAGATGGGTTGGGGACTTTGTTATTTTCTACTGTATATTATATTTATAAATGAGTGAAATAAGTAGGTCGGCCTTTTTCCCTTACCATAGGTAAAAGTAGAATCCCATTTTGAAAGAATTCATAATTTAGTGTATATCGTAATTAGCAGCTTTATTTTTGTAAGTTGTTTGGTTCAAGGTTAAATGTTGATTACTTGAGTACAGTTATATTCATCGAATGAAAATAAATATTTTCAAATGATTGATTTTGTCAAATGAATCCACACTTGTTTGTGTAGCGAAACATCGTCTTCTTATTAAAACGAAGCAATAATGACTGGTGTATTAACTAGAAGTTTCTGATCGGTCAGTTATACTGAATTTTAGTTGAAGCCATTTTTAAAAATTTTCTACTCTTCCTAATAACGGATCATGAATGTAAATTAAAGCAATTTAGAGAGTGTATCTGTAGTTTCATTATGGAATACTCATTTCTCTCAATTCATTATTTCAGCTGGCATCTTTTAGATGGGCAGAAGTGAATTCTCTGCCGGAGTGTACATTTTAACAAGAATCTTGGGCACAAAGAACTCGCTTTTCACTGATAACAAAAAAATGAAACGGGTTTACTTAGTGGTTTCCGTTGCTCACGATCAACAGTTTGTTTCCCACAACCATATCGATTGTGATACGTTTACCTCTCATTTTCCCTTAACTGGACAAACTTTATTGTTTTTTTAATCGATATTTAGCTGTATGAGTTGTTACTAGTTCTTCGTGGTTTACAAAGTGAATTGCCATGGTTAGTGGGCTTTCATGGGTAGTAACACTAGTCCACATATGTGTGGCTCAGGACTGCGCATGTGAAACTGCAGTCTACTCTCTGCGTGACTTTTTTCCTTAAAGTGCGTCTTAGAAAAGCTGCTGTGTTTAAAAAACGAATATTTTACGAAAATTGGCATCTCAATGAAGCTAGAAATTGTCGAAGTGTGCTGAGAGGTATAGTGTTTCTTTGATAATGAGTACATTTCATTTCAAACAACTGAGGCGACAATTATGCTAAATTGTTTTGTTGTGCGTGTAGTTAATTTAGTTTCGTGAAATCCCTTTTGCGTTTAAGAAGCCGATATTCCATTCCAATCGAGAACATTTTAAGAAACTTATCTTGGTGGATATAAGGAAATAAAGATTAAATCAGTTAACCAGACCTAAGCACCTGAACAATGTGACCGTTCGTAATCACAAGCGTAATTGGAAGTACAGTATAAGAATCCTTGACAATTAAGTTACTATTGGAATGTAAGTCGAAGAATTCTTTTGGAAATACAGGTCAAAAATACACAGTATCCAAATTTCACATTGATTTAGATACTATATTACCAGTAAAATATAAGTAGACAAATAAAAAAATTTATCAAATGCTTTATTTTTAATCTATGAGTTTCAAATAGTTTTTGGGTTTGTAAATTGTAAAATAACACAAAAAAAACTGTAAACTAAATCATGTATGAATAAGATCATCGTTGTTAACTATATGTCAGAGTAAATGCTGATTATAAAAGAACACAGTTGTGAAATAAATGCAAGGTTAACATCTTATTGAAAACAAAACAAAAAAACGAAGAGATATAGAAGTAAAAACATTTCATAAAGTATAATGGAGAGTGAAATGCAAGTTGTAATAGTATATCAATAGTTTACAGTTGGCTTTTGTGTAATTCTGATCACGGCAACGGAAGATACGAAAAATGATAATAATATTAAATATAATTTTAAGTTAAAAGAATCACAGCACTTTCTGATACAACATAACATATCGCTATCATCAATCATCCTTTTATTCACATTGGAAAAAAAAATGTTTTAGATAATTTTCCACAAATAATACGTCAATTTCTTTTTACGAGACAAGGTTATTCATTGTTCTAATCTTTGTTATTATTAATATTATCAAAGTTGCACTTTTAGCCGTGAAAATACAACTATCAAAAGAGAAAAAGGAAAACAAATCTACCCGATCATTTTAGACAGTCACGTGTCTTTGTGGTTGGTTCGTTTGTAGGAGGTGTGCATAGAAACGAAAACAGTTGAAAGAATATTCTTTCTTAATAATGTTAGTGATCGTCATCATCATTATAATTAAGATAATAAATGCTAAAATATTTTTAGTGATGAAGTTAGTAATAATAGAAGAAAAATAATGATAATAGGGTAACGGGACAAGAATGTATGAAATGCATATAACACATGAATATCTTAAGAGGAATCCACATTGTTTACTGAATCCTGCCTACTTTAATCTTTTTTTTTGGTAACATTATTATTTCTATTCTGTATAAATCCCATTATATTCCACAAAACAAATGCAGAAAAACGATTATCATCACATTTAACATATAAACATTCAGTTGAATTGTGTTATGCTTATTAAGTATTCGCCATCATCACAGAATCTTATATTTTTGTCTCGAATAATGATAAAGAATATGTATTAATTATCACGATAATAATAATAATAAACAGTAATCGCAGTACTAACGAGAGTAGTGTCAATAAACATATAGATAGTTGAATGTAGAAAGAATTAGGAAGTGATGATTGAATATAGAATTTTATAAGGTATATTGTTTTTGTGATAATACACATACATAGATAACATTTCTGATTCAGTGAACTAATAATTTGTGTACAAACTGTATGTATATGAAGATTTTTATATTTTAAAAAAAAATTATTAATGATAATGAGATGAATCTATTATTGTTGTTTGTATATCAGAATTGTTTGATTGTTTCAAATCAGATAAGTGTCGATATAATACTTCAGCATCTTCGTAAACTTCTCTAAAATAAATAAAAATAGAAATTCAATAATAGAGATTAAATAGTTGAAATTAATAGACTGCATTTGTTACGAATTGTTCTCAAACTGAAAACTGAGGAGCACTGAACAGTTATTTTATATTTGTATAGTATTCCTCCTTAGTAATGAATATTTTCAACTTCCTATTGGGAATCAACAGATAGACATTATCAACCTATAACTTAGAACAGAAATGCATTGATCTAAGTTGCCATACTTGATTAGCAAGGCTAAGTGAAAAAAAGAGATCAAAATAATGTAGTCGTAATAAACCTTGAGAATATGATTTAAGAAGATAGAGTGGAAAGGTATGCATGAAAACATAATTGAATTTCATATTGAGAGAAAGATAAAGAGAGAATGCATTTGGTTCGTTTTGAACAATAGTGAACTATGCCACACAAATTCGTCAACCAATGGTTATGGTTATCATGTGGACCCCAATGTGGTAGTCTGGACTTGTATACATGGCTAATACTTAAGGTATGTTTCTATTTGGCCGCCCATAACTTTCAACCGGATTCTGTACAGCCAAGAATTGCTCGTTGAGACAGACAATAGTTAGCCATATGTTACAAATGTATTACCTACCTCAGTTGATGAAAACTTACTACCTCAGATTGATTTGCCAGGTACCATGTACTTAGCCTTAATATTACTCACTCGGTTATTCCACAAAACTCGATCAAGGCTTCGAAGACATTTGTGGTCAGAAGCCTTCAGCCTAAACGTGTCTTCTATCTTCAATCGTACGACTGTTACCGCCTGCTGAGGAGCATAGGCATATTTCTGTACTATCTCTTCTGGTGGATAGTGGAAGTGAGAAAAAAAAGAAAACTTTCAAATATTTATTCATGCTTAGTAGAATAAAGTTTATTGTCTGTCGTAGTCATTTTAACTATAATGATTAAAAATCTCTCGTATTTACCAATTCCCTAGAAATGAAAACATATTGCATTGTAATTAGATTCAAATAGTCGAAATTTACTTGATCATGAAGTTACTTCATATGAATTTAGTTTATTTTTCTTTTTACGAAGTGATAATTGATCATATTTTAAACAAATCTTTGTTCATTTCATATCCCTACTGATGAAACATACCAGTAGTGGAAAATTCTCAATGTACGGACTATAGATATGGTTCATAAAAAAGTTTTATTCATGAGTTTAGAATGTAGAAATATTATTGTTTATATTTTGAAGACAGCAGAAAAATCAATTATTTCAAAAGTATTCTGAATGATCTGTTATTTAATAGTTGTGAAATATATAGCGGTTAAGTTAGCAAGTATATGTGAGTTCACTTGTAACGAGTGTGTAAATTATTCTTTGTTATGTCTTCTACTTGACTACGGTTAATATGGTAGATGGCTATCAGCACTCGAACGAATTGAAACTCAAAAGACAGAAAAAACAGGAAAAGCGGTTGAGTAAGTGTGAATAATGTACAGAAAAATAGGGTTGTAATTTTTAGTATAGGTTATAGGATTAGTATAATTCAGCCAATCCTCAAGTAGGAAATTATACAATTGTTCAAAAACCGTATCCCACATTTATACTCTAGAAAATTCCATCGAGTTCTGGTTGGATGGAATCTCTTTGGTTCCCTTAGAGCCTCCGGAGGCTTTGTCGCGTTTTCTGTAAGTCATCTTAACATTCTTTGTTAAATATTTTTCGCCATATTTCACAGAAATTATTAGCGTAATTTACCTAGGAATAATTATAAAATTAGGTGTCTTGTATTTGACATTAAATATCACCTATTGAATTATTCCATAGATTACCATATAAATTTAAAATCAACGTTAAGTATGAAAGTAAAACTGTTAAACCCATTTTCTAGCAAACACCATAACACAATTAATTTTAATGAATGCATCATACTGTAAGTTTTTTATTGAACTGTTATCTTTTCGATAAATATGCATTAGTTACCATCGAGGTTTCAGAAATGTGTTTTGATAACAACTATCAACTAATATGAAGTCGAGAGCTCCCTTCAAATTCCCTCCAAAAACCTAGTATTCAAGCAAGTGAACACAATGTCCAGTTATTTAGACTACTGATCATATTGACACTTGGTAAATGGAATTTAATCACTTTCAAGAATTAGACATATGCCGCATAGGTTAAAACCCAGTGATCAACCACTGTAAGTATATCAGTCACTGTTTACATCACTCACTGGCAACTTAAGTGATTGGGTGGTAGGCAGTTTGAATTTCATGTGCAGCATCAATCTCCCCTTACGATAAAATATAAGCCATACTGACAGATGACAACTAGTACAAGAGTTGCAATTGCAGGACTTCAAAAGTTTGTCTTAGTTTAACAACTTGAATCTCATGATTTAATAGAAACTAATTCACGAACACCACTCATGACTTTCATCTTTTCTGTCAATCTATATTATAATCTAAGATTATGAATAACAAATGTGTAAAAATGGCTACACATAACAAAAACAGGAAGTATATATATAACTACTGACCTGGTTGTTTTCTGTTTGGAAGTAACATCATCACAAGTTGGTGTGTACTAAAATGAAAATATTTGAAAATAAACAACACTGAGTTCAATTTTTTGATATGATCACTTGACACAAATCGATAAGCAAAATAGTTTATAGGTTGTACGTCCTGATTAAAATCCTACTGAACCAAGGAGCCAATATGATTATTTATTACTAGACCAAGAGTGAAGTGTAAATATTGTTAGAGTGCCGTGTTTATAGACAGTCCACAGAAATTCATAGTTAGAGTCTTTGAATAAATAATGTCAAATACATGGAGCATTGGGTGTTTGCACTAATAAAATAATGATTTATTTTAATATCTCAATTAGTAGAAAATTAAATTTTTGACGTTTTGCATAAACATAGAAACATTGAAAAATATTTAGTACCATCAAAACAAATCTGATTGTTGAGATCATGAGTTAATTGAAGCTAGACCACCATGGAAAACCTGGGAGTACTGAACAGTCGTTTCGTCCTATTGTGGGACTCTTCAGCAGTGCACATTCACGAGTCCGCCTCGTGAAATTCGAACACAGGACATATCGATCTTGCGCGCGAACGCTTAACCACTAGACCACTGAGCTGGTCGGCATCCAACGGTGTTAATGTCTAACTTGAACTAATCCACGAAATTGAGCGACACATCCACCATTGTCTTCAGTGAGTTACTATTTCACAACAGACCCGGTTGAACTTCACTGGTCACAATAGGACGAAACAGCCGTCCAGTGCTTCCAGGTTTTCCATGGTGGTCTAGCTTCAATTGACTCATGATCTCAACCACTGAAATTACTATAATATCCACAAAAAACTCTTCTAGTATAAATCTGATTGTGTTGTCATACCAATCAGGTCAAAGGTGAAATAATAAATGTGTATTTGTGTACATCTGGGTGGCTGTCAAAAATGTGATATTTATAATGTCTAGGATTCGAGTTAAATTGTATGTTGAGGATATGAGATTTGAACAGATTAAATGTGACCAGTAGAGTTAAACCGTGTCGGGCGTCGGGAAGGTATCCTTCAAAGACACTGGAAGATGGTCGCGCAATATTATGAACTGATTGAAATTAGACTAGTACATTACTGGATCTCCCCAACAATGACAAATAAACAGATATTCAACACTTCATTTTTGTCAACATATTACTTGTTTTAAACCAGATATTCTCAACTATTGAGTAAAAACAGGAAGTACTATTCAAATCAACTGCCACTTTTATTATTCATGTAAACAGTTTAAAAAAGTTTCAAATAAAACAAAATAGACAAATTGGTGGTTAAATGATTTAAGATTTAGTCAGCACCGTGTAAATTCCAGGTACATTACCCATTTCTATTTCGGTTGGCCGGATAGTATCATTAATCTACAAATAAAAGGAATGACTTAATATTGAGTACACAAACCTATAAAGTGAGTTGCAACAGTTAAATTAAAAAATGGAATAAATTTCAGCGCATCTTGAATTCCATCGTAAACATCTACCAAAATAACATATGCATACAATGAATGAAATGTTGTGACGGAATATTGAATATACTTTATGGATATTAAATTAGAGATAAATCAATCTTACCTCCATAACTGATTCATAAGCAGTTGAACATGAGCTGATTTCAATATCATACAGACGATTCACAGCACTTTTAGATAAACTAGTGAGATGATGTTGGTTAGAAGAAGAGATGGAACGATGTTGTGACTGTTGTTGTTGTTGACTTGTTAACTCTTTAATTGTTTTATTAAACAGTGTTGTTGTTTGAACAATGTCAGTATTCTTCTTATTATTATTAATATTATTGGTATCTGTCAATAATAATGGCATACATGATAACGGACTATTTAAAGATGAATTTGGTAAAAACGATAAATCAGCATACTTTGTTGTTTGTAATTGTGTTAAACTGGTATCTTCAGGTTGGTTTACAACCACATTTTCTGTAGTTGTTTGAATGATATTAGACTGAGGTGCAAAAGAAGAGGGATATTTCGCATCTAGTAATGTTACTTGTTCATTACTTGGATTCGATATATCAGATTTGTGATCATTAGTGCTATTTATTTGAATATTATGTGCAGTATCATAGATATGGATTGGAGGTTCAAGTCTAAAAGTGAATATTTTAAATATATTTATATATATATCTTGTAACTGAAAAGCTATATCAGTGTATTTTGCTAAGGATACACAGATAACGGGAAATTACAAACTATAACTAATAAGTTCAGTTCTTCAGAGAAGTGACTTACACTAAGTCACGAAACGTCAGAAAATCCAATTTTCTACTCATTGGGATAATACAAATATATTATTTTTATTTATAACAATCAACCCAATGCTCAATTTATTCGAAATTATCAAATCAAACCTTGGTAATGACACCTACAAACTCATTAATAAGTTCAGATCCATTGGACAAATTACTCATTATCTTAACTCTGTAGCTTAGTGGATAACGTGTTTAGGGTTTGAAGTGATGGACATTGGTTTCGAGTTTCAACATGAAAATAACAACACTGAAATATAGGTGCACGCCTAGGAGATCAGTCCCAAATGAAGCGAAATATGCATCCTGCATTCCACAGTATGAATCTATATCGAATATAATTTATAATCATTGTTTTAGGAAAACCGACACATTGGTAGCATTACAATTACCACACAAATCATTGCAATCTAAAATAAAGGTTGTCTTGCATTGGAATCCAGGAAGAGCGTTTCGTCCCATCTGAGACTCGAACCCAGAACCGTTCGTTTTGATCGAGTGAACATTAACTTTGAGATATAATTAGATTCAGATAACGAGTATCAAACAGGATGAATAGCGCGTCCTGGATTCCACTATTAGTTACCACCTATTTCTGCTTATATTGTTGACAAATGTTGATTGAGAGTTTCGAATGACTTAAAAAAATTGATTAGACACTTTATTCTGTTTTGGCATTCATTTCAAATTATCTAGCAGTTTGATATAAATTATAACCGTCAATCGTCTTGTTATTATTTATTCACTTATAAATGAAAGAATAAAAATATAATAATAACATTTGATTGAGACAGGTTGATATCAAATCAGCATTTGTTGTGTTGTACAAAAGCCTTCAAGGACGTATACTAAGGTTTATTGAAGCCTTGGCTATACGGAAATCGAAACCCCCCTTATTTGTTCAAAAACAATTTGTCCTTACACTTAACCTACCCTGGTAATACTGATTTATTATTCAGAGTGGTAATCACATTTGTTTTTTGTGTACTTTAATATTTTCCCTTTGTTATGACTTACCCTTAACCTGTCTAGTTGACCTTTTAATTTTCAGATATAAATGATCTTAACAAGTATATGTGTGATCAGATTGTTCGAAATGTATATCACATAATTCTGATCAACTACGTCTTCTTACTGAATTATCGAAATTTATCAAAGGGACTAATTGTTTTAAATAATAATAATAATTTAAGTTATGATGTTAAAAAAAAACCCAACTACCTTTCATGAAGTGTTGCATAACAAGATGAACGTGATGATCTTTCGATAGGATTAGTAATTTTGTTGTTTGAACAAAGTTGTAAGTCGATTGACTGATCCGATTGAGGTTTAATCAAATTCTTTGCTGAACTTTCTACATATAAATTATTTTGTATAATTGAAAGTGTATTTGTATTATTTGACAAATTGATTAAACAATTATTTCTTTTTTCAATATCATTAACATTTTCACTAGATAAAATGGTTTGAACGTTATCATCTTTAGGTAATTGAGATTCTGTATTATTTTCGAAATCTGATATTGTATTCTGATCACCAATAGTACGTCGATGAGCAGTTGTTTTAACTAGACTAAAATAAGAAAATAGAGGAAAAAGAAAAAGAAAAGTAAAAAAATGTATTCTTGTCCAAATTAGTTTTGTAAAGATTTTGTATAGGTTGCCAGTAAAATTTACATTGTGACTTGAAATCAAGTTGGAGAATTATTCAAAATTGAAAAGCCAATGAACATAATTAATTTCTGGCAATTTAACACTTCTAAAATAATGTTCATTTACAGAATCCAGTAAGATCAAACTAACTATTTTGAAGCTACATTCACTGTAAGCGAAATAATATCAAGTCATGTAAACTGAATTTGAGTGGGTTCATCTCAGTGTAAGTGATGTAACGCAATTCTCGCCTGGTGTATCTGTTGGGATAATTTCACTCTCGTTTAAAATTATGTTCTCTAAGTTAGGTGGCTTAATTATAGAGATTGATTGTCATTCTGGAGGTCTTCAGGGTTTACTTTATATAGAAGTTAGATTTCGGTTATTTCACATGTACCATATCAATCCACTTCAATGATGTTGCTTGTGATTGGTTCTCTTTGTAGATTTCGTTCATTCTTCCTTGGACTGACATTGACTATCTTTCTCGGATGACCTCTGACCTTGTGACTGGTTGGTCTCTTCTGTATAGATTCATATATTAGGTTTATATTGATATACTTGTTGGTTGCCAATCGATTTTGATACCATAATTCTGGGAACTGTTTTGGCATTCTTGGAGTTTCCTTGGCCCGAAATTGCGACGTTTATCCAGTCGAATTCATGCCCATGGTTACTAGAGTGTAATGTTATTAGTGAAACATATTATGTAACCTCAGTGCTAATCTATGTTCATGTGTGAATAGGTCAAAGGAACCTCCACTTCGTCCAATGTATTAGTTCTGGCAATTGGTGCAATGTACTTGGTAGATGACATCAGATTTACCTTTTAGTGATCTGTATCTAATGGAATGAAATGATTATGTTGATTTGTGAGAGACGTTAGACCAAAAGTATTTCAGAATCATTGTAATGACTCATGAGATATTTTCCCACATATGGTGGGATAATCTACTTCTTGGTTTATGAGGTTGGTTTTTGACAGTGAATTGATTCGTAAACAATGTTCTCGTGAAGTTGTTGGAGCACCCATTCTAAGCAAGATGGATAGTTGACGAGTTCCTTTAAATTTTTTGGCAGCGAGATTACTGCAGCGCGTCTCCACAATGCACAGCTTGAAAATTATACGACAGGAAATGTTTGTTTTGTTTGAAATGCTAGCAATTTTTTGGCTTTCATTTTGAAAAAGCATATTAATTAAATTTCGACAATGCATGTAGCCGAGTAGATGATTTTACCAGAAAACCATAAATCTCTCTGATCTCAGAGATCACAACACATTTAAAGTCCTATACCTCAGCTAAAACTTATCCATTATCAAAAAAGATTTATGTTGATAGTTCTAAGTTCTGTTGAAGATTTGGAAGGGAATTCTTATGATGAGTTGATGTGTTTGTGTATGTAGCTGTAAAAGTGCATTGGTATGGAAAGTTCCAAATTAGAACAAGAAAGATATTTAGTACCCAGTGAACTCTAGTAATTTTCTGGCTGATACCTCAATCAGTGACAAACAATCTTTGGTACCTATGGAAATACTCAAAATAATTTCTCCCTCTCTCCAAAAAAGTTATATAATTCGTACTTAAGGGGTGATGTGAACATTACTGAACTTGAAGGTTCCCATCACAAACTGACTTAGAATTTTAGTGGGTATCTAGCCTAAGTCAGTCTGTCATATAAATCCCTTGATAATTCCTCAAAAGACTTTGGAAACCTGGAAATTGCTAAAAGTACCAAAATAAGTGTAGTGGCGTTTAGATATGCGAAATGATGAATAAAAGTTGAGTGTTGTGGCCACTTATACGGATTCATACAGTTTAGCATACTACTTATAAGTGAGTTTGGTAAATAAACTTTAAAGTGATTTTCTTTAGGAGAATTAAATTTATTATTCATAACCATAAAGTTTGATGAAAACAACAAATCAAAGTTTTCAATGAACTAAATATAACCGAACAGTAAACTCAATAACAATAGTAAAAGACCACTTCATTATTTAGCGTATATATATACTATAGGCGGACATCAAATTGTAGACAATAGTTTTATTAAAGCAATACAATGATACTAACCTGAATAATTTACTGATTACAGTTTTTGGATGTGTTTTTCTCACACGAACAGTTTCATTATCGATACATTTTGCTATAATGTAACGCAATGAAAAAAATTTAAAGAAAATGCAACAAACCAAGAACGATAGTGTTTGTACAACTTTAAATTCTATTCAAAATGAAGAGTGTATTCAGTAGTATATTAACTAACAGGAACTCGATTCCTGTTTACAGTAGATTCTGTTTAATCATGTGGGTAAAGACAAGCAACTAGCCTCCGTCTATAAGCTCTTCTAGGGCTACTACCAGTCCCAAGACCAGGTAAAGGAGGAGGGCTAGGCGTGGGGTCGGCATCCCCATCCCGTAGAAAACAATCTTGCCAAAAAACGCTAAGCAGAATAAGCAAATCAAACCACTCAAACTCTGCCGTGGAAGTTGAAGGGAGAATATTGACGCCTCATGGTGAAAACCGAGATCCTTCGGAAGTCACGAGGCCGATTCCCCCTTCTAACAACCAGAGCAACAACTAGTCTAGGCAATATTATTTAACTAACCTCGATCACTGCTTGTACATTCTTATTTAAGTCAGTCTAGCCGCCTACGAATATCCATAAATTGTATCTTAATGAGATGGAAAAAAAACATATCTTAACAGATAATTTTTATTTTGAATAGTTGGGTTAATCAAGGACTAAGAAAGTACATAATAGATGAATCTAAATTGATTATGACTGATTGTTAGGTGTTTGCTTCGGTTCGGGCACCCAGACAGTATCATAGCCCTCACATATATCGAATGAGATTTGTGTGGAGCATATGTGTTTAGTGCCTCCTTGTACCAATATCTATATGTTAAAATAAATAAATAATAATATAATAGACGTTTTATGTAATTTAAAGGCAGTATTCATCACGGATCAACATCATATAGAGAATGAATGAAAATTGAGAGATAATAGAGAGAAGTTTGGTACCAATTCAAATATTTTACACAAAATAACTCCATACTCGTATATATATATATATATATATATATATATATATATATATATATATATATATATATATATATATATGAGATAAAACATGAACTGTTTGAAATTGTTAGATTAAGGGGAAGGCATTGAAACACATATTCATTACATTTTTTAGAACTTTCTTGTTGTTATTTTGATTCAAATTTATACAATAAACTGAATGCACTAAACCAACAGAGTATAAAACTAGGTTGTCACAATATTTTCTCCAGGAAAAAAAGAACGATATTAGTGATGAACTCAATCTATAATAAAATAATCCCATAAATGTTTAGGATGAATACAAGGTGAACACATTTGAACATATTCTGTAAACAATTTTGTAGTATACAGATGAATTTATGTATTATAAGATTGAATTGATTTATGAAAAAACATATATCGCTGAAATTAAATGCAGTGCATTTTATTTCCACAGCTGGAAAGGAAAATCTGTGAAGAGTCAAGTAAGGGAATTTCTGTGTTACAATTACGTAATCATATCTAAATAAAAATTCTATTTCTGAGGAATATTTAACTGGTTTGATATTTGTACTGGGACTTCTGTTATACCAGAAAATAATAAGTTAGAAGATGGATGATTAAATTAACAATGACGAAAAATCTAGAGAATTATAACGATGGATAAAATCGGATTAAAGTCGAAAGAAGTTCAATGAAATTATAAAAGAAAAAAACAAGCTGATGGATAAACTCATTTTGTATTGATTGTTTGACTTTTCCTATTGACGCTTAGGATTGCAATTGGTCAGTCTCTTTATTACATATGTGTATCATGTGAAGAATACCTCAATATTCCCACTGAATTCGCACAAAATGTACATATGCCAAAAGAAAATGATCAATCGCAGTCCTAAACATCAATGGGAAGATTAAAGTAACCAATGCAAATGAATTAAACTTTACCCTACTGTACAAGCCAGTGGTTATCTAGACAAAGTAGCTAAGTGGATAACACGATGGCGTTTGAAGAGGATGGTAATTGATTAGAGTCCCAGAGTGAACATAAACTCTGGGATGCAGGTACATGCAGCTGACGAATCCAGGCTAGGACGGAACGTCCATCCTGGATTTCACTGCTAGCCATTATCCATCCATCTCAGCTTGTAGATAAACTTATCCTAAAAAATTCTCAAATAGATTTAATGAGATCCAGTCCCGAAAGGTTTCAGCAAAATAATAACCGTAACTGTTGATAGAGAAGAAAGGTGAATCTATCTCGTATTTCGTTTCAAGTCAATACAAAGAACTGTGTATCTTTCTGTTAACTGATGCTTTGATTATGTAGCCTGAAATTCGATAATAAAAAAAGTACGGATGAAAAAGCAACTTACTGATAAAGTTTATTACTGTAAGGATGACTAGTGAAGGACAAAATCTTTCACAGTTCATTAATAATCATCAAGATTTATAAACGAAACTTTCCAGTAGGTAAGAAAAGTTTGGCTGTAAATAAAGTTTGTTTATTGTTTTTCTTAATTCGATGTCAAAAGGGCATTCAGTCAGTATAATGTATACAAGTGATTGGTTTACAGAAAGAAAAGTCAGTCAATAAAGTATGGATCAATACAATATTTCAGAGCAATATGCAATCTGTTTTTTTAGGACTCAGGAGATTATGAATGATAATAGAACTAAAAAATGGTCTATACAAAAAGAAATCTTATGGAGCCGTATAAGAGCATCATGAAGCAAATCTCTGGTTCAATTTATCACGACTGTTTGACAACCTATTCATGTTTATCACCATTTGCTACTGGAAATTGAATGTGGGATATATTATCTATGGCAAATTTAAAATATTTTGATGTTTGTTACTCATGAGTAGGAAAAGCTTCGTAAATTGAAACTGCTGTGGTCTATGCTGACACTTATAAGTAGTATGTAACGGAAATAGGAATCGGAAAGCCTAGCAGCAGAAAATTGAATTGAAGAAAACAGAAACAAAATCAGAGAGCAATCAAAATAACAACATAGAAAAATAATGGAGTAGGTAAGGTACAATGCAAAGAAGATATGCAAATGTATTTAATGGATGATTTTTATATTTTACTAAGCCACTGTATGCTTTGCATAAACAATAGATTGGTTTTCCCTGACTGAGTATTTGTTCATTACACAATCACCTAATATCAGAATATCATGATGGCAGTAATATAACTCGATCGACAAAACTCATCTGTATAAAGCTACGACACAATTAATTAGTGACCTGAAAATAAATAACATCTGGGATAGTTATTTTTCACATCCCATTATCCCTAATTTCAGAAGAGGAAACAAACTGTTGGAAAAAGACAGTTTGTGATAACTAAAATTGATAGTGTGAATAAACCTGATAGGCGTTGATCAATCTATGGTAGAAATCATAGCTGTTGAAAGAGAGCATTGAAAATGAATGCTATTTGATAGAGTAAAACGATAAGTAGACGATTTCCCATGAAACGTCATCTCTACTAAGCAAGTGCAGTTTAAAGTAAATGGAATTTAAATAAGTTTAATTAATCGAAATGCAAAGCAGCAATAATTAAAATGATTGAAAAAAAAGGAAGATACCAACGGTTTTATTTTTTTAATCTGCTTAATTGTTACGTTCACGACCGAGATTCTTTTAATACAAACATGAACTGACGCGAATTCTATAAAACGGCCATTGTCGTATACAACACTTTATCAATCACTCTCAAACGATAAAACCCAGGAAGATAAGAGTGCAAAAAAAGATTGATAATCAACGAAGTCATGATGGTCAAAATTTAAAAAGAACAACTCCGCGTATATTTATAGTAATATGAAATTACTTTGAGACAACAAAACTACCAGACTAAAGGGGATATAACATCAAAGGTGACTGAGGAAATACGAAGCAGTTGTATTCTTACCAGATGAAACCCTGATCTATTAGCAAAGAACTACATAACCTGAGCTCTCCTTAGCAGTAATTTAGGAAAAGGAAAAAAAAGTGAGACTCACCATTTTGTTTATTACACATACTATCAACATCAACAACGGAATTATGCCCTCTTCTTTCTATATTTTTACCAGGTTGTTGGTCAAAATGATTATTATTATTTTGCAAAGAAGAAAATGAATTCGGCATATCGACAATAAGTTGTAGTTCTTCTGGATTCAACGCTGTTCTTGGTTTTAACACTGGACCATTCCATGAGGCTGGATCAAATGGTACAAGTACCATTTGACTAAAGTCTATTCTCGGTTGACGATATACAACACGATATTTACATTTTTTATCATTTAAATATTTACCATGTGTATAGTAACATTTATGTAAAGTGGATTTACTGGTTATTGGATTTTTCTCAATATTCATATTTAATATCTGGTCACCAGCAGCGCCAGAGACTGACGAAAGACTTAATTCACTGAATAAATCTAATTTATAACTATAACGTTCAGTTTCAGGATCCGACAGAGGAGTAGTAGCATCATAATTCAAATCGGAATCATCTGTTAAACAACATGACTTATCGCGATCCATATCATCATCACTGTCATGATCATCATCAATAACAATGTTATCATTCGATCGGTATTTACATAAATTATGTTGATAACTACATAATATTTCTGTTGATGACGATGAATAATTCGATAATCGTTGTTTTGAATCTTGATCTGAAAGTGTAAAGACATGGAGGAAGACAAACAATACAATGATAATTACATAAATCATATCATTAGTATTTACCCATAAATAACAGTTTTATTTACAGTTGAAAAACAAAATATTTATTTACATAGGATTGGTAGCCAGGTACAATATCACTAACCTTTCACTGAGGCTGTGAATCATGTTGGTAGACTATCTGGTTTGTGTCAAGATGATAACTGAGATCATCGGCTGGGTAGCATGATTCAAAATCGACCACAATGAGACGGATGCAGGTACTTTTTATTTTACTGTAGATGTTGAAGCCCAGTATATATTCATACATACATTCACACTCTATCTTTTCGAATTATGTTTTTAATGTTTAGTCTTCTATATCATTGCTGCTACTACATAATTTCGATCAATTAGGCGTTAACTTTGTTAATTTCATCTTACCGAGTTATTTTCTTCCGCATTCATTTTGCAAAGTTATCATAATAGCAAAACTTTATTCCTGAAATGTTGTTACAATCTTGTGAATAGGATATATTTCACAGTGCATGAGCATTAATATAGGTATGCTTTATGGCATAGTTAATTTATAATTTCAGTAATATCCACTCTGAGAGATTAGGTAGACACCATTCTATCTTCAATGACGCTACGCTCTTCACAACAATAAGTAGTCAGTACAATAAACAAGAGTAATTGGTTATAGAGATAAACCAGCCGAGAAAAAACAACGTTCCAATGGATCACGTGTTTTATTAAGGCTTGTGAAGACAACACGGGTAATGCGAAACTGTTACCGAGCTTCGGGGTGGATAAGAACATCGAACGAATGAGATATCACGTAATGTTCGATTGTAATTCCATTGTCGCGCTAAATAGCATGCAATATTCATCAAAATTAGCCCCTACGATTTATCATTCTTCAAATGTATAATAGTTACTTAAGGGTGACGCCACCGGGCTTCCACATGAAGATAATGAAACGCGGAATGACAATGCAGATGAGCGACTTGTCTCTTAATGACTTTCACAGATGTTTAGAATAATGGAAACACAAATGGGACAAGTGTATTGTCGACAACATAAGATCAATATAGTCTAAATCCTATAAAATGGAATTCTTAGCTTTTAGAACTAAGCTGTAACAGACTTGTTCAAATGAGGAATGATTTTGAATAAAACACATTCAAAGGTCAAAACACCTTAGATATTTTATTTGTTATACTTGAAGACTCTTTACAAACGCGTACATATAGAATAATAAATAGTTAAGAAACCATCAGAATGAAGGTCACAAAACCAGTAAGGCCTGACTTCTCATGATATAAAATTTAAAATATATAATAATTTATTTCTGCATATGGAGTAAAGAAGTGATTAAAACCAGCCAGTAGGAAACTCTAGAACTCTGTTTTGTGTTAATAGAGCGTTTTTAGTAAGGCAAACCTATGGAGCTTCTCTTGGTTTGTTTACTCACACAGATAAGTATCAGTCTGACGAATAACTATTGAAGTATTCAGGTCACGATTAATCTGAAATAATTAAAATGGTTGATCACCGAGCAGTAACTGACATAATGTCTATCCAGTAATGACACAATTCTATCAATGATCAGTCAGCTACAACATAGGAACAGTCACATATATGCATCGGTTCACGTTGCCACAACTCATTAGCACAACAAGATCAACCCCAAATTCATAGAAGTTGTTACACCAATGGTAGTAATATATAAAAGAAAGATTGTGTACAAAGATATAATACAGGAAGAAAGAATTAGTATGTAGAAAGAAAGATATGAAACGAATTTAATCTCTTAGTTTAAAGGAAGACAGACAGTGTATACACCGACGCCATTGTGATCGATTCTGAGCCATGCTACCCAGGGTCTACAGCCATTGGTTACCATAGTTGCGTGGACCTCAACCAAGTAGTCTGCATCTACCAACATGGCTCAGATCACAAGTTAGTGACTTTAGGGATTGATGCCACGTTTTCCTTTAGCCAACCCTAACTTTCTTCCATGTGTCTCCAACACCAGTCAGTATTGAGCGTCATGGTAAATGATTCAATATCGTATCCACACAACCTTAACACAATGAACTCAATGTTCAGTCACTTACATTGAAATATTGCTACTTGGTCAGTGGAATTCAATTAGGATTAGATAAACATGATATCGGTAACTAATTAATTAGTGGTAAACCAACGGTAATTATGACAAATACAACATAATTACATATAAATGGAAAGCACAGATATATCAACTTACTTAAATTACTATAACAGCACTTTGAATTAAGATAGAATTTTTCATTATCGCGATAGTGATGATGACGACGACAGCGACGATATTGATGATGGCTATGCTCAGATGTACCATTTGAATTAGATGAAGGAATGGAATCTAAATGTTTAAGAGTTGAGCTGATTTTATTGAAAATCGATATTTTCACATTTATTTAGGATGTGGAACACATTAATCACATCCAGAATTTTATTATCGACCAGGAAAACAGTAAGAAAGAAGAAAATAATGTATCACGATAATAAGTATACTTCATATCATTCCGTGAGAAATATATACATCTATACTGATAAGTTAAAATGAAGCTTAGTTCACCAGTTTTAGTTAAACTGATATGAACATTGAACTGTATACGAAGTTGATAAATCAACAAGCAACTTTTCTGCTTCATGCTTACTTAAATCTCATTTGAAATCCAGAAATTCTAGTTTCAACCCCAGTATTGTGAAAAAAATGTTAATAAATTATAGTTCTGGCGAAAACTTTAATTGAGAGTTTGGCATTGATATTTGCTGATATCTGATTGGTTGTTCTCGAACTTATTTTTCAATTTTTGCAGTCGCAACTGTCCTATTCGTTGTTATATAAACAGAGTTGTTCTGTTATAATTTTTATTTCAACTGGGAAAATAAAGACTCTCCAGAAAGTTACGTCTTTCTTCTACATTCATATGTGGATTAATAACTTTGGGACGTTGTTGTTGAGTACTAACCGTCTGATCTATCTAGTTCGCATAGATCACAAATCATATAATAAAAATCTATCAATCGTTCGTATTTGGAATAACTTTAAGCTATCTCAAATAATGATAACATTCAAGCAATTCAATTCCGATAAGCCTAAATCCCATGGTTAAAAGGTGGTACTTTCACCTATTGGGGATTCATGCAGTCAGGTGGTATCCCCAGTTTTACAACGACATGCAAATGAACACTGCAATGTTTGGTTTGTATTAACATCTCCCACTTCAATCACTGTTTATATGCACAATTAAGTATGTAAAACATGTATTAAGGCGCGAAAAAAAATAACAAGGAGTTCAGCGAAAGACACTAAGTTCACTGATGAAAGCTGACAAAAATAATCTAATTCATAGTATCAATAAGACATTCATGAATATTGTTTGTTCATGATAAAACGATACTACTCATTAAAAGATTAGTAGTATAATAAGATTTGTCGAGATTGTAGAATTTTCACACTTGAAATCACGAACTGATCTTGGCTCGACCATCATCGAAGAACTGAAAAAATCGGAAAGACTCATTGGCAATTAGCATTCACGACCTCATATCCGCAAAAAAAACTTCTGGAGTTCAAGTGGTCAGTGGAGCTCAACTACGTCGATTGTGAGATAGCTTCCACTGTAAAAAAATATGTGCAAAGGTTGAGGAATATTGTGAGTTGATTGACGTTAGACACACGCATCACTGGATTACGTTCTAGTGATCAAATGTTCGTGCACGAGACCGAAGGTCTTGGGTCCGATACCCGGTCATGGATATGTAGTAGGGAAAAGTTCTATATTGAGACGAAAGAGGCACCCAGTGCTTCCATGTTTTCAATGACGATTGGACTAGGATCAATTCGTGATCTAAACTATGAACGTTAGATGATTGGTGGATTTAAAGAATAAAAGGTACTTAAAATTTCGGAAGGTTCGTGTATTCACACAAAAATTTCCCAGGATTTTATGGGAACTATCTGCCATACCTTAGATCATTAAGTGAGGATCGATGAAGTTAAATGAATAAAACCATAAACAACAAAGCTAGGTCAATTGACAGTTTTATTGGGCGCTGCACATAATGTTCATATTGAGGTATAGATTATTTTAGAATGTGGTGTCTTCTATGCGATAGATTAGAAAACTAACTTAGTTGATTAACATTTTAAAACGTTTACGAATCTTCCCACTAGTGATCCACTGGTCGCTGCCCGCTCCCCGCACTATAAGCAAACAACATTTTGAAGATAAAATTAGACAGATACGCATAGACTTCTTATACTGTGCTCAGGTACAACTCTGTCAAAAATTATTCAAACTACAGATTTAAGAATTTCATTTTATAGGATTTAGACTATATTGATCTTAAGTTGTCGACAATACACTTGTCCCATTTGTGTTTCCATTATTCTAAACATCTGTGAAAGTCATTAAGAGACAAGTCGCTCATCTGCATTGTCATTCCGCGTTTCATTATCTTCATGTGGAAGCCCGGTGGCGTCACCCTTAAGTAACTATTATACATTTGAAGAATGATAAATCGTAGGGGCTAATTACGACAAGAGAAAGTGATCGATCGGATAGATTATCGTGGTGGGAGTGGGATTTTAAGTACAAAATGAATAGTTATTTCTCAAGTTATGTTCATGTCTAACAACCTCAGTAGTTTTGGTTAATATGTATATTGGAGAACACATCACTTAGATTATGATTAAACTGAAAAAGAAGTATTGATGAACATGAACTAGAGCAACACATATAATCGAATAATACTGTTTTTAACATTACATTGGTCATAATATCATTGTGCACTTACCAGGAAGTTACAGGGATTTGAACTTTTTTCACCGCACAATAATCAATGTTAACAGTTTTTGAATCACATTGAAAACTATTATTAATAATGGGGGAATCAGTAACAGTATTACAGTTATTAGCATCATCATGATAATTAGTCCTACTGACATCAATATTTTCATCGTTGTTTTCATTAGTCTTTGTATTACACATTATTAATGATGAAGAAGCGGAAGATTTGGTAGTCTGAAGATGGAATGAAGAAAGGAAAGAGAGAGAGGAGGAAAATAAACAGAACTAGTAGGAATTGTTTTATTATTCTTGATAATTTTAGCATTACACTTATGTATAAAAATATGTCCGTGTACCAGTTAATTAAAACGATGACATTTTTAAAGTAGCTTGACTAAGGAGAGAAAGAAACAAAGTTGGAGCAAAAAAGAAAGACCGGTAACAATCAATATACATTTCCTTTTCGTCATTCAAGTTTAATAACTAGATTCTTTGTCTATATCTCTCATTTATTCACTCATTCATCCACTCTCTATCTGCTTATTTACGCTAATGAAATGCCAAAAATTTTCATGAGCATTTTTTTCTCATTTATAATTTATTACGTTACTATTTTACTAACTGGTCTTAATAAGTCAACTAATTAAAAGAAATATCCGAATACATTGAGAAGTAAAAGCATTTTTGAGAGAGAGAGAGCGCAATTGACCTTGTTTCTCTGGACATTTTTTAAAGACAATCAACAATCTTCAGTCAGTCACAACGTAAAAACTGTACATGTGTACACCATACCGGATTAGCACTTAAGATGGAACTGTTAAACCGAATCTCAGAATAGTAGAGGTAGTAACAGTATCAGTGGTAATGGGAAGCGTTATGCATCGACGATACGACTCGGAAGGAAAATATAAATTAGCTAAAGTTAAAAAAACACTATGAGGAATATAAAATCTCAGAATTTCAGGGAAGAAAAAGAATTAATGCGCCTGCACAATCGTAAATAATCATTCATTAAATCATCAAAACGGATCATTGTGGAACTTGTGAAATCATTCTAAAATATTCATTTACATTTGACGTTGATGTTAATAATTTTATTTAGGGTGACAAGAAAATAAACTTTCAATTAAACTACATATTTCAGAGAACGCAACATCATTGTGTGAATCTATCTACCTGAACTACAAATTTGTTCTATTAATTGGAGCTTTCTCTGTGAAGTAGTCGATTAATAATCTGTCAAGTACACGGTAAACTAAATTCAAAAACAAACATCTGTTTACAATAAATAGTCATTACGATTTATTGACGCCGATAGATAAAAAAACTCCCCAAAAAAGTAATTATGTAAACACGACGGTTGAATACAAGTATGATTCACATGAGGAATCGCTACATAAAAAGGAATATGTATAATCTGAATATCAATGTAAGAGGTTAGGATACAAAAATAATGTCTGAGAATTTGATCCCAATGTTATTAAACTAGTATATCAATGTAGTAAGTTAGTTGTGTTTTGCGATACATTGATATAAGGAATATGTTGAACAAAATTTCTTGCCGATCACCATCTTCAAATATTGTTTAACACCAAGATATAATCCTTAAAATGTTAAATTCAATTAGATCACTAGTCAAATTGCAAATTGATCAGTAGGGTTCGACCAGCAGTAAGTATTAAAAGAAACTAGACAAACATGACATTGAACACAATCAATAGTAAATTATCGCAACACTATAATAACAGGAAATAATATTAGTCTCACAGTAAAAACAGTCTAATAACAAAACTTACTTAGTTCAGTCAAACACTGTGATGTGAGATGAAACACATTCTTTTTTGCTTTCTAGTTCATGTTTCTTTTATAGTGTCATAAAAGCAAACAACTGCTGAGCAATGAGCAATAACAAACAAACAAATCATAAGAGAGAAGATTTGTCTCAATTCTTAGGTTTTTTGATAAGAATGATGATGAATGTTACTTATAGTAGGGTAGTAGTAGTAGTAGCAGTAACGATAATATTTTTATATTCAATTCCATAGTAGAAAACAACCGATCAAATGCATACACATTAAAGTATCACTACATGTAAGTGCATACATAAACATTTTGTTTTGAATACTACGTGAATAAAATATCTCATCAAATGGAATGAGAGGGAGAGACAAACAGTAGTAGAATCATCAAAGGAGGTCTTTCAAACATTTTATGGTAAATAAAAAAGAAAAGGAACATAATTTAGATTGAGTTAACACTACAAGCAACAACAATAACATTAGATTTGTATCCGGAATGTACAAATAATTCAATTCATAAGGTAGATTATTAAATTCATTACTGAAAGTAGAAAAGTAAACAAAAATAGAGAAAAAAAGGGAGCATATGTAGATAGTAAAACAAAGAGAACTTGTTGTGTATAAAGAAAAAGAAAGAAACAAAACAAAAAACAGTATGATAAATATAATTTCAGTGAATCAACTCGATCTATTTATACTATTGCTATAGGCCATCTTAGTTTGTATATTTATCAGAGGAAAGAACATCTACAATTAGTAGTATAAATTTTAAGACGAAGAAATTAATTAGTATCGAAGGAGAATATAATTAATCGTTTGTCCCGACCGTGGATGTTATTGGCTGGTTTCAATAACTATGTAAGTGGTAATTACAAATGACAATCGTGATGACCTGATTTGAGGTTTAAAAATATTCTTGAAAAAAACAAAACAAGCCTAATCAGCCGATAGCATTACTTTTCTCATTAACAGATAAATAAGTAATACATATGAAGATAATAAAAAGAATCCGCTGAGAAAACAGATGTATCACTATTAATGAATTCATCTCATAGATAACACTGTCAAAAGAGGAAAAGTTTAAATGCTCAAAGTCAAGTATGAAATGAATCACAGTAGGAAAAAAATTCCAAAGTTAAATTGATGAAACAACAATTATGTTAAGCGTTTTCATCTTTGTCAATAATCGGAAGAAAAACTCTACATATTGTTGTTTAATGTGAGAATTAAGACAAAGAAGTTAATATTCTTGAGAGTAAACAGACGAAAAACAGTTGAGCTTACTTTAATATGTATTAATATTTAGGTACTGGAGATCACAATATTTATCAGGAAAGGGTAATCGTAAGAAATACTTAAATTAGTATGAAACAGGTGCATGCTCAGAGGAATAGAAGCGAGTAAACACACCCACAGACAGACACGCTAATATGCATACGTCTTGGATAATAAAAATCGTAACAGAAAAACAGGTAATTAAAGTAGATGATGAATCAGTGTAGAATTAACACACAAACATGTAAACACACAAAAAATTGCAATGCATTATAGATGGATATGTAAAACAATTACTAGTAATGACTACATTTACTACAGATAGCATGATATTGAACAAATTATATAACATACAAGTAAAATGATGAAAATACAAACGACAAATGTTGTTGCATGCATTTATGTATACATATACACAGGTATCCATGCAGACAAACAAATAAGTCACGAAAAATTAATAAATGAACAAAAGAAATGATAAAAAAAAGAGAGATAAAACAAAATGTTAATGAGTTATAGGGATTACATGTAAATGTAAATATATATTTATATATACATAAGCATATATTCCTTAAATTATAATTAAGTGATGAAACAAAACTACCTACCACACCACTGGTCAATAAAAATGACAATTACATTTCCAGCAAGAGTAATACACAGTAATAACAGAAATAGCTGTGATAGTAATAATAGTAAAAACAGGAACAACAGACGAACACAGAATGAATATGAGTAATACATTCAATGAACAGATGATTTTAACATGTTGCTTTTATGATATATATAGACCGAGATGTGATGTATGGTGATTGGTTATTGGTGCTTACTTAACAAAACAGATCAATCTTACATTATTCTTATTATGATTTGACTAGTGGGTATGCTAAACTTCATGCAATGAAACTGATGCCAACATTACGTGATTGATGGGGACGTACACATACAACGTAGGATAAGTCAATCGAATATTTTTTAAAAAATGTTACTGATAAAAACATTTAAGCAAACAATATAATTAGTAAGTTTTAGACAAGTGTTAATGGAAAATTTTATATACTCACATTTTCATGGGAATTATTGACATTTACAGTAGAATTATAAGTATTTGATTTTAAATGCAGAATTTTTGACATTTCTTCACTGGACTATAATGAAAGATTCAAAGAAATAATAATAATGATGAAGGATTGTGTTACGCTTATATAATATCATATGCAAGAAAACATAGATATTACATAATATCGTACTGGATAATAACAATAATGCAGTGATCTATACGTAAAGAGCATGTCAGTAGGTTATGTATTCAGTTCCTAAAGGAGGCAAGAACTTAAGGTCATAAAAAACTGTTCGAATTAAATCGACTACCCAATTTTCATTAAAAATAAACATGATCTATGCCAGTTTTAGTGATCATGTACTGGTTTAAGGAAAAAGATTACATCGAACATTATACTGTACCATTTACATATACCATGTTTACACGATTAAACATTCAAAACTGATTGTTTAATCATAGCTGAACCAAATGGATGGCTAACTATCATATTTAATGACAGCAATTATTTACGATCGCCAAAACGATTACACTTAGTGGAGTAGTTCTGGAAGAGGTGAGAACTTTCGTATATTTGGGTAGCATCATTGATGAACAAGGAGGATTTGATGCAGACGTAAAGGCAAGGATTGGCAAGGCGAGGACATTTCTACAACAGAAAAACATATGGAGCTCAAAAAACTGTCTGCAAGCCAACATCGAATTCATAATCATCAATACGAACGTGACGACAGTTCTACTATACTTGGAGAACTCCCACAACTATCATTAAAAATGTACGAGTATTAATGAACAACAAACATGCGCAATGTTTGTTAACTGGATACCATCAACAACAACCTACTATGAGAGAGAACAAAACAGCTTCCAGATGAAGAAGAAATTGGGAAAAGACGTTGGCAGTGGATAGGAAATACATTGTAAAAATTATCGAATGGCATCGCGAAACAAGTGTTAACTTGGAATCCTGAAGGGAAATGGAAAAGAAGGGAGTCAAGGAACACATTGTGTCGAGAATTGGAAGCAGATATAAAAAGAGTGAGTAGCGATTGGAAGATAGTGCCCAGGACAAAGTTGGATGAGAAACGCTGGTGGAAGGTCTATGCTATTCGACGAGGGGTAACAAGCATAAGTAATTAAGTTAGCTACTCCCTGAAGTTCTAGCGAGGATCCATAACCAGTGAACTTCAATCATTTAGAATGTGGGGCAGTTAAAAACTGAAGGCAACGGAAAATGGTAGAGCAAGTAACCACTGCATATTGATCCAACAGTCTGAAAGGTTATGGACTCTGCGCAAAACAAGGTCTTGAGTTCGATTTCTGAGAATATTGTGGGTTCATACTGACAAAGTAGCAGGGCCGGTAGTTCCTAGTTTTCGAAGATGTCTCAACGGAGAATAATTCATGTCGAAGGCAAGGTACAAATTAAGCCGACCGCTACAAACCCCTTCAACTAAAAAGAAAACAATCATCAATTGAAGTGACAATAATACAACCTATGTGCCATGGAAGAAAAGCAAAGTATGGTTGTTTTGTTAATGAATGTAATCCACAAAGGAGAGTAAACAATTTACAGGGAAACAAAACAACTATGATAGGAAAACAAAGATTTTGTTTATTTTTCTTAATATTTCCATTTGCATTTCTAAAATTACTTTGCCCCTTTTTATCACTATTTTAGTTATTGTTAAATAGTCATATAGGATTCGATTTGAAAATGATGAGCAAAATAATCTGTTTGTTTTCTTCTTCGTGTATTTCTGTGCACAAAAACAGAAACAAACATACAAGCAAACGAATAAACGATATCTAGTAAAAAAAATATTAGAAGAATTACACATTACTACTTTATAACCAAAACAAATATATGTAAATTGAAAAATTGATTTGAAGAAAGAATAACGTACAGAAAAAATTTGCTTTAAGAGGGATAACAAAAATGAGAATAGAGGTTATTCACCTGGTTTACACTAACGAGGTAAATATTATTATTATCATTATTGTAACTTTTGCAATTAACCTATAGAGAGTTATTATGTATTTTTATTGTATAATTATTATTAGAAGTTTGGACTACTGTATTCTGATGTTTTCAAGTTTGTAAGCTTTCGTTAGGTACGTAAAGTACTATTATGTGTTTTACTTTCCTTAAGTTAATGAGAATTAACTGTGAGCTTATTATTCAGATCCCATTCACTCATGGCGTAGTTATGTCTATATTGTAACGTTACTTATATCAGTTGAGCTATCACTCGAAGGAAGGTCATTGGTCCTCTATGTTGATAATCTAGGCGGATTAATCAATACTCCAGCTAGATAACAACACAGATACTCATATAATAATGGTTCTCTAGTACAGCTACCAATACAATTCTAGAGTATGTTCTTTTGCCATTAAATCACAAACATAATGTAGTAAGAAAAGGTAAGAGAATAATCATAAACAATGTTCGACGCATGCAGTATATGTTAAATGTAAGTTGGAAATTAAGGTTTGACGAATTTCTAATTATTTGGAAGAATTGTTATTTAGTGAAATAACTGGAAAAAAGTGAGTATTAAACGAAACCCGTACAACTATTTGATGTAAACCATATTTGGTAAAGCGAGCAGTTAATTTAATAATGGATCAGATCTGATTATTCGAGCTCTCAATAATGTTAAGGGTAGTACAGTGTTAGTGTTAATACAACATTTGTGTACTACTGTACTTCAGATTACGATAAGCATGCCAACAGTAGAGATTATATCCAATTAAGCGAATTCAAATAGAAAGGCACAGCACGGTTTTCGAACTTAATGGTTGAGATGAGTGGGTTTAAATAGAGGAAAAAGACAAGTTAATTGCACTCAGAGGACAATACAAAGTATAGATATCTATAATTGTAAAATTTTGGTCAATTGAGGATCTTGACACCTGCGCGATTGTAACAGAATTGAGCTTTGTGTTGGTCAGTTTGCAAAGAGCCTGGCTGGGGTCTAATTATTTTGAAAACTGAATGAGCCATTTGTAAGTTATATTGAATTATATCGGTGTAATTAAGTGAAGACTACCATAGTATCGATCATTTGAAGTAACACTAAGACTAATACTACTACTACTGTAGTGAACAAGAACACAGGTGGGGACAATCGAATGTATTTAGCACGAAAATTACAGACTATCTCAATAAAATCTGAATACCATAAAGTCAATCGTCAATTTGCAAATTATCAATGTATCATATCAAACTGTACTGTTTCCGTTGCAAACACTAATCCATTGTCTCCCATTTCATTGTCCATGCGATTTCTTACAAATTCCATTGTGTTCTTGCTCTTCGTTTCTTGATCTTCTCCATTTTCTACTGCCAGGTCTTACATCCTTTTAACGCACGTCATATACTACTTATGTCAATATAAGTAGCTCACACCACACTACTACTAATAGTAATAGAAATAATTCGACTTTAATCATTCATTGATTAATCGATAATGCAACGAAAAGATCGATAACTTGCGCTTTGTAATAATTTCCAACATACATTAATGGTTATAAAATAAATACAACTTGGTAAAGAGAGTGCGAATGAAATAAGAATAAAACTGAAGTGTAATTTATAATTGCATCAGATCAGAAACGGAAAAGACAATGTAACAATTCGGAAAAATTGAAAAAATAGAAGAATGTAAATTTAGATTACATTAGATAAAGAGAAGAAAACAAAGAACGGTAATTACGTGTCATTTATATTCTGTATTCAGCATAAAAACGTTGTAATGTCACTTTTCTAGGTCATATTATCTTGCTTTGCTTTGCTAGCGTACTAAAACGTATAATGAACTTTGGAAAAAATCAGAACATGAAATGGGTTAATTAGATCTAATCCATTATTAAATTAACTGTTCGCTTTTCCAGATATAATAATAGTCATAATAATAATTATTATACCAATAAAGATAATAGCACTCAATGACAGAAGTGTTTGAATTAACTTCTGAAAAATAAACCGACAAAAGAACGGAAGGTAATCAACATGGTTTTTTTGGTCACAAGTAAAAAGCAGACAACCATGTGGATCAAATGATGGATAAACATAGGGAATCAACAGATATCATACTGAATAATCGATAAAAAATAATAATAAACGAAAAACACAAAATATTAATAAGAGTTACAAACAATAGATTGTCAAATTATCCCCATGTTTCAACATACTACTATTGTCTGATCTTTCTTATTTAATGTCTTAATGGGTGTGTTCCGTTTACTAATCAGTAGGGATTTGGATTTTTCCGGTGTTGCTCACACTCGGGGTTACAAGTGATCGGCCTTTGTTGGTATATGACAGGTTCTGAGTGGATGCCATGATATTCCCTTTTAATAACAAGTTTTTTCTAGTATATTTGAATTGCGGTTAGCAGTGGAATCCAAATACAGTTTTATATAACGTTAGGATTGATAATGTATAGTATAATATTTATAAATTAAAGTACACTATAAGGAATATATTTTAAACCATTTTTCAATACCGTAACTTAATACTTTCAAGTTTTATTATAAATATCATCATGTCATTGAATCACTTGGTTTCAAACACCAATCTACTGTTTGTTAGGAATGCAATTTAGAGATAAAGATATAAGTAAAAATAAGTACATTGATAAAACTGTAGAGAGAAAATGCAACAATAAAAAGTTAGTGGTAAATAAAAGGTTAATTTAAGCTGAGAAATCGTCAAGGTATAGGAGTCAGTTATTCAATCAATATAAATGCCATGAAACTTAGATATTCAAGAACTAAGTATTATGTTCACGCTTTAAACAGTTAAAGAATTCGTATCATCAGTTATTCCATTTAGATGGCCAACTCACAATATCTCTAACGTTTACACAAAAATTGTAGTCGAATATTTAGCATTAAGACTGTAGCATGATTAATTAATGCAGACTCCGAGTTCATTCTGCACTAAGTGAGAGTGGTTGAAAAGTTATTGGGTGGCAAAAAATGATATATTACCATTTGGTCTTGATCTATGTTTTGTTGAAGGATAATGTTAAGGTTAATCATTAAAGTGGAAAGTTTTCAGAAATTACTGACCTATTAGAATTTACATAAATTAAAGCATTTAACAGAAATTAGTCCACAAGTACAGAATTTCTGACCTTGAACTATTACAGTACAAGTTAGAATGTCACGGGCGTTTTTTTTTTCGAAGTTGAATGTTAATTAAATAAATAAAATCTATGGGATTTTGGTTGATGAGTTTATTTGGCAGACTGGAAAAAGCAAGAATTTTAAAGATAATATTCATAAACTATGAGTAAAGCTAGAGGAACGTAATTGTTTAATTTCATTCATCTAATTAACCGAACTCACTCTTGATAGCGTTTAAATACTTTCTTGAGTTTTAGACGGAAGACTTTTGATTGTTCATAATAATGGTAAAACATTATTATTATTATTATTATTATCATTATTATTATTAGTAGTAGTAGTAGTAATTCATAAGTTAAAAGGAGTCCCTAACATTGTTGAATGAAAAACAAACTGAGAATATACGAAGGACGAGAAAAAGGGCATTATAAGCGACTTCAAAAAAATGGTGACTTCTAATGAAATCAGATTTCTTTCAATTAATTGAATTGGTTAACAGTTTAAAACGTTTATTGCATTATTATTAATAATTAATACAACAAAAATGAAGAAAATGAATAATGGTGAATGATATGAGTGAAATTAGATTCAATTAACTAACCTGAGAATTTTGAATTAGACACAGAGGATAAGAGGTGTTAGAGAGATTGGTGGATTGTTTTTGTGATTGTAGATGTTGTGACGATGATGACGGTGATAAGTTGGTTACAGCAAGATGATGATTAGATGATAAAGAGTATTTTCCAGGGGGGTTACATGAATCATGTGAATTCCCCCCGGCCATTGAAACAGATTCCGATGAGTGTACTACAGCAGAGACTAGTAGCAGTTTTGAATGACCACTGTTATCATCATGTGATTCTTTTGTTGCCTAAAAATTGTAATAAACAAAATTTAAAGTTCAAATGTATATCCTTAGTTAAAATTGACCGTAAATATTATAGAGTATTGTTATTGCAGGTTGATGGAGTGATCATAAACTTACATTGACTGAGGTAGTTGGGATATGAATGAGTTAGGTGTGGTCGATCATAACGTACTTCAACGAGCTGGTTATAGCAAATTAATTTGTTCACCATATATCTGCGTATTAGTCACGCTCCATGTATGGGGTGATGATACTACCCGGTTTCCTAAACCGAAGTACGTAAAACGAGATTTGAACTCCTTAAGAACAGAGACACTACTGCACTGTGTTACGAATAACAAAGAAGTTCTAAATCAAAGATTTAGAATGAATAGACAAAGTTATAAATGTTGGTGATATACTATAAGATAATTTATCTTATTATACATGTAGGAAAACATTACTAACAGAAGCATTTCTACAAAATAAATAATAGTAGTAGTGGTAGTAGTAGTGTACTGGTTCATTTTATTATTGAACTGAGATATTTGGTCAGTGAGACTCAAAGATTTCAGAATTTATTAAAGACAATTATCATACACATATACTTACCACTTCCAAGAAAGATTTACGCTGATTAGAACTAGTGATTTTATTCATTGCATTCTCACTTTTATTTTCCATAGAATTTACATAAGAATTATCTGAATCAATTCCATCCCGGGGTCGAGCAATCAAAAGATGAACACATGGATGAGGAGATTCATTCAAATCTTTTGCAATAACAGATTTTAGACGATTAAGTGCATCAGTAGTAGATAATCCAGATAAATTTTGACCATCTATAGTTAATAAACGATCACCAACTTGTAAACGTCCATCCTAAAATAAACAAACGATAAATGTCAGTAAATTATTTAAATGCAGAAAAGAGGTGTGCAATAAAAATTTCTTTATTGTTCCAAAATATGAAGTCATCCCAATTACTTGGAATATGGGGAAATAAACAATAAAGAATATCTTGAGAGGAAATTTATAAATGTTCACTATGTGTAAAATCAATTAAAAATGTAAAACGATACCTTACAACTAGTATACATTTATGTACAGTGTAATGTACAGAAAGTAGGACATGTGATGCATGCTAACTCGTTTGTTTGGTTAGTTTCAATGGTAGTGAGTTATTTAGGATATAATACTTGGCATAGCGTTTATAATAACTAACAAAATTGTAGTGTAAAGGATACAAATCCTTTGAATTGTAATGAACTGAAAATTTCTCAAAATAAGATGATATGTTGACAAGTTGCAATGATTAAATATGTGATAAAACTAACTGTTTGTTTCTTTCTTGTATTGATCTGTCAGTAAATAGTGAACAAATATCCTGGTTATGTAGTATCTAGAACCAACCAAATTTTATCTAACAACTTAATAATAGGATTATTTTAGCCGGATAACGCGATATCTCCTTGTACCTAAATTGATATTCGATAGTTAGAGGCTATTTTAATCCGCCGCATGTTACGCCATTTGAGACAGGAACGCATAATCACTTCCAGTGAAACTGAGACTACACTCCTAGTGATTCCTAATACCCCCCTAATAATTAGGAAAATAAAACAAGCAGAAGTCTTAATATTATTTCGCCAGGAAATAATGCAGGACAAAACACATGGGTCCGTGAAGATTATCCGTTTATAGTGCTGAATTCAACTAAATATAGGAGGCTTAAAAATCCAAAATAGCGACTTTAAGAAATTTTTTACGAGATAGTTTGAGTTGAATTCTCGGAAAATCTTACTTTAAGAGGAAATCTCCAGATTCATGTTGATTGGGACTCATACCAATCATTCCACTCATGGCAAAATTATAGGCTCGAACTCATACTATCCTACGCAATAATCACCGACGTTATTAACCAGTTATACAGGTCTTTTATTGTTTATCTTTACTGTTTTAGGTGACACTATCACGACGTTATTATGGAAATGGCATTAGTTACTAATACATTGTCATACACAATCAATCTCAATAGCTAGAGAAAGCTGTGTGAATGCATAGTAAGATAATAATAATATTGTTAACAGAAAATTATTTTGTCTGTAATATTAATTTGTAAGAATTCTCATGCATTGTAAACACTCCCATATTATGTAGATTTTAGGTTATCTGTTTTATTTCAGTCATGTGAAAATTCTGCATATGGTCAATTAATTGTAAATTATAAGTGTGGATATATATATATATATATATATATATATATATATATATAGAGAGAGAGAGAGAGAGAGAGTTAAGAATTTATATTCATCTGAAATGGATTATACACAATTAAGTAAACATCAACATTTACACTTCATATACAGAAAATTGGTATATTTGATAATAGTTTGTCGTCAGGAACTGACTTTAGGCAGATAAACATGATTGTATACTTTAAAAACCTGCCAGAGATCAAAACTAATACCTTCAGGCTTTGTGGTAAATGTATTTCTGTTAGACAATTAAGCTTCGATGTAATAATTTAAATACTCAACTTAAGTTGATTCGCAATATTATTTGACAGTTGTTCACTGACAAATGTGATATACTTGTCTCACTCCTGAAATGATGGTTAAACTCCACGACTTAGCTTTCTAGTAGAACATCACAAAATTCAAAATAGTATTATGCAAATGGTTTAAGGATTGGACAGTGTAATAAAAAGACGGAGATTATCAAAACTATGTGATATATTAGCGTAATACATGTCTAACAATCTGACCACACTTACACTTGTTAAAAATATTTATAGATGAGAAATTAAAAAGGTCAATGAGACAAATGGAAGTTTAGAGGAAACAAGGTTAATAGAGAAAATAACATGAAACTCACCATGCTGAATCAAAAAAACAATATTACCAGGGTAAGTTGAGGAAGAGAGCAAACCGTTTTTGAATACATAAAAAGGGTTTGGATTTTCGTATGGCCAAAAATCGAGTGAATTATCCACACATGATGTTAAGATAGTCAGCGACGAAAACTAATAATCAAAATTCATGTTCACTGACTGACTAATTGGTGACCTTCTGAATTTCAGTTAATATATTTTGTGTTGAGTATTTTGCAAATACTTACTTACTTACGCCTGTTACTCCTAATGGAGCATAGGCCGCCGACGATATATATTTTACTGGTCATTAGTTCAATTTTGTTAATATCCAAGTAATATAGGTTGAGATTACTTATTACCAAGTTTACGGTACTATTGCGTTGCATTTAATTTTTCACAAGTCATTCTGATGACAAACTTAAACAGATATTACATAATTGACCAACATCTATGGGGGTCATATATGTTTAAACTTTACAGAAATTCAGACCCATTATAGTAACGAGGAGTCGATTTTACCTGAGTGAATATTACTGTTCAACTACGTAAAATGTAATGATACATGAACTGGCTCACTAACTGATTTCAGTACATTGTGACAATAGCTAAAACTTTTAATCTCTGGAGAAAACTGATAGAGTAGAAAAAACTAATCATTAATGGAATGTAGAGAATAATACCATAAAGAGTAGTGGAAAGATTTTAACATTTTTTATTGTACATCATACGTAAAAATTATATTATAAATAAACTCAGTTATTGAAATTTAGATAAATCCAAGATTGTGTCCAGGAATCTTGTATAAAACTTTTCGGTGAATAATTTCTGTCAAACTATTCGTTGGTCAGACATAATCAGCAGTGACCTACTGTTGCGGAGAACAAACCAGCTTCCAGTTAAGGAGGAAATTAGGAGAAGATGATGGAGGTGCATAGGTTACACTTTACGGAAATCATCAAACCGCATTCCAAGGCAAGCCCTAACTTGGAATTCTCAAGGCAAAAGTCAGTCAGTCAGCTACAACGTAGGACCAGGCACATGGTCTCAAGGCAAAAAGAAAAGAGAAAAACCAAAGAACACATTGCGCCGGGATTTGGAGGCAGGCATTAAAGAAGGAACAACACTAGGCAGCAAGTGGAAAGCATAACCCAGGACAGAGTTGGCTGGTGATTCTTGGTCGTCGGCCAATGATCCATGAAGGGTAACAAGTATAAGTAATAATTCATTCAAATATTGAAGAATATTCATAAAAGTTATTTATTGTGGTCTATTAATTTTTAACTATAAGTAATACAACCTAGTACTCATATACGTATTCATGTACTTAGCTATGCAAATATTAGAAAAAGTACGAGGTTCTGCAAACCTAACAGAAGGAACGAAAATCGAATAAGCAACATGATTATTGACACATGAGTGTTGCCACAACTAGTTATATCATCCATTAAAGTAAGAATTTTAATAAATTTCCCAAAGATCAACAAAAACTAATGAATTAAACCATTCCCATCATATAACATGATCAGTCAGTCAGTCAGTAACAACGTAGAACTTAGTACGTACGTACATCAGTTCGAGTTGCCATACCACATTAGCACAGAGATGCAGTGGTCGATTCAAATCCCGTAGTGGTAGAGGTAGCAAGAGTATAAGCAGTAATCGGGAATATTAGAGTTTGGAGATGTTATTTAACGAGTATAATCCAGTGAAATAAATTTGGAAAGAGGAAAAAAAGGGGCATGAAGAATTCAGATAATTAGAATTTGGGAGAACATAGAGAGTGGATGCACCTGCGCCATTGCAAACGATTTTGAGCCATGTCATTCAGGGTCTCTAACCATCGGTTGCTATCATCTCGCGGTCCCCAACCAGGTAGTCTACACCTACCGACATGACTCAGACCACTTGTCAGTGACATCATGGATTTGTGCCATGTTTTGGTCTGGCCGCCCCTAGCTTTCTTCCAACCTACTCCTATACCACTGAATATAGCACGTCGAGGTAGTCGGTGGTTGGGCATACGTAACACGTGTCCCAGCCATCTCAACTGATGAAGTTTCACTACTTCATCAATTGATTTGCCATCCTTACCTAGTACCCGTTTCCTAACAGTTGCGTTACTTACTCGGTGGTCCCAGGATATACGAGCAATACTTCGAAGACACCTATGATCAAATACTAGTAACCTACGAATATCCTCTACTCTTACCGGCCATGTTTCACAGCCATAAAGTAGGACGGAACGAACTGCTGCGCAGTAAACACGTCCTTTGGTTGGTAGACGGATATCTCGCCTACGCCATAAATGACGCAAGTTGGCAAAAGCTAGTCGAGCCTTCTGTATCCGTGCTGAGATTTCATCACACACCAGACCACAAGGGCTGATGAGACTTCCAAGATAAGTGAAGCGGTCGACACACTCAACTACTTCACTCCCTATCACTAGTTCGGGTGTCGATGTAACCCAATCCTGAAGCAACATTTTGCATTTCGAGGGAGAGAATCGCATCCCGAACATGCTTGCATTGTTGCTTAGAGTGGTCAGAAGACTCTGCATTTTGTCAGCGTCTTCAACAAATAAAACTATGTCATCTGCATATTCTAAGTCAACAAGTGAACCTCCCGGTAGAAGTTCAACCCCCGGAAATTTAGATGAGGAGAGTGTTATCTCTAAAAGTACTTCGACCACAAAGTTGAACAAGAATGGGGAGAGTGGACAGCCCTGACGAACACCACTTGAGGTAATCAATTCTGATGACAGTTCGCCATAAGCTCTCACTCTACCAGTTGTGTTCGAGTAGAGAGCCTTTATAAGGTTAATGTACTTCTTTGGTACTCCTTTCAGTGACAAACACTGCCATAGAACCTTACGATCAACAGAGTCGAATGCCGCCTTAAGGTCGAGAAATACTACCATTGTGGGGCGTCTAAACGTGTGTCTGTGTTCTAGAACCTGACGTAGTGTGAATATCTGATCTATACAACCACGTCCAGGTCGAAAACCAGC